ACCACTGTACTATTTTGCTGGACCCCATTTAAAAATGATGTCTCCCCAATAGTTTCAGTCTAAAGAGCTCCTGAGGCTTCGCCACAGTATTTAACCTTGTCTGGGTCTTCAATTGCATGCCCTGCAGGGTCTCAAATGAGAAAGATCAAATTGGGAGACAGGATCTTCTTTCCCTAGTCTGTTTCTCCTCTTTAGGACCCATATACCTGTATCCAACTCCGAAAGTTAGAACCTAAGATGTTCTGGTTTATTTAGACTCTGAATGTTCTGTGATTGAGATCTGACTTTTAGGCACTGCACTCCTCCATTCTCCCTGCTCCTGCACAGAAACTGAAGCTGCAATTATTGCAAACCCTCTTTGTCTCCCCATGTCTGGTTTTACTTCCCTTTCCTTATCCCATAAATCTACTGTTTGTGTAACTGCCAGGAAGACTTCGGTGTTGCAAATATCCATTTGAAAAATCCCTGCTTTGGGAGCCAGAGATAGCACAGGGGGGAGGGTGCTTTCCTTTCATGAAGCTGATCTGGGTTTGATCCCTGGGTTTGGTCCCTTGAGCATTCAGGAGTGATCCATAGGCACAGTCAGAAATAAGACCTGAGGATCAGTAGGTAAGACCCTCACCCCAGAAAAAAAGCCCATAAAAAAGACTCCCTCCCCCAAAAAGTAGATCCCTGTTTTAAAGTTTGTCATTGGCTCTAATATGATACACAAGGCCCCAAAGTGCTCTGTCTTTGGCTCAGGCCTCCAAAGTTAACTTTTTACTTTCTCTCTTCATGCTGTCATAGGATGGTAGGTAAGGAGGCCCTAGTTATATACTTCCGGGAAATAAAACTTAAGAAGAGATTCCTGGGCCTGGAGTAATAGTCAAGGGGGTAGGGCGCTTGCTTTGCTTGTGGCCGACCCAGGTTTGATCCGAGTGCATCGCCAGGAGTAAACTGAGCACCACGGGATGTGGCCCCAAAACAAAAATGCAAGGTGGGACATCCGAAACAACAAAAGCAACTGGTGCTGGCGCGGATGTGGCGAGAAAGGGACCCTCCTTCACTGCTGGTGGGAATGCCGACTGGTCCAGCCCTTCTGGAAAACAGTATGGACGATTCTCAAAAAATTAGAAATTGAGCTCCCATTTGACCCAGCAATACCACTCCTGGGAATATATCCCAGAGAGGCAAAAAAGTATAGTCGAAGTGACATCTGCACTTGTTTGTTCATTGCAGCACTCTTTACAATAGCCAGAAACTGGAAGAAACCCAAATGCCCAAGAACAGATGACTGGTTAAAGAAACTTTGGTACATTTACACAATGGAGAACTATGTAGCTGTTAGAACAGATGAAGTCATGAAATTGACATACAAGTGGTACTGCATGGAAAGTATCATGTTAAGCGAAATGAGTCAGAAAGAGCGGGATAGACACAGAAAGATTGCATTCATCTGGGGAACATAAAGTAACAAAATGGGAGACTAACACCCAGGAGTGACCGAGATTAGCACCAGGAATTTTGCTCCATGACTTGGAGGCCAGCCACACGTGCTAGGGGAAAAGGAAGCTCAGATAGAGAAGAGAGCACCAAATAAATGGTGTTGGGAGGATCCTTCCAGGATGGGAGAAGCATGCTGAAAGTAGACTATAGACCAAACATGATTGCCACTCAACGCCTCTCTTGCAGACCACAGAACCCAAAAGGAGAGAGAGAGAGAACAAAAGGGAATGCCCTGACACAGAGGCAGGGTGGGATGGGGGGGATGGGTGGTGGAAGGGATACTGGGACCTGTGGTGGTGGAGGATGGGCACTGGTGGAGGGATGGGTACTTGATCATTGTATAACTGAAACCCAAAAATTTGTAAGTCTATAATTGTACCTCGTGGTGTTTCACTAATAAAAAAAGGAAAGGAAAAAAAAATACAAGGTGGGAAAAAAGATTCCTTAGACCTGAAGGTAGCCCAAAGTCATGAAGACCACAGCTCTTGGAACATAAATCCTGAGCTCTTTGAAGAGGAGAAACTGAGGCACCACCCAGATGAATAAATCCAGGCACCTACTCAGAGGAGAGTGGAACCCTCAGTTTTGAAGCTACAGAAGAAATTAAGGAAAGAACATCAACAAGTGCAAAGGATGAGATTACAAGACCATCAACAATGCAAGACTTTCCTGTGGTGAGGCCAGATGAACTCTCATGTAGGCAAACCCCCAGAAATAAAGGAATAATTGTATAAAACCTCCTCCTGAAAGCCATTTGGGGCTTTTTCTCCCTTGAACATGGATCTAGTCTATTCTTTGCTTATTTCCACTCTGGAGAAATCTGTTCTTTTTTTTCCCCTTTGGTTTTGGGGCCACACCTGGTGATGATGCTCAGGGCTTAATCCTGGCAGGGCTTTGACTATATGTGATGCTGGGTATCAAACCAGGATTGGCTGCGTACAAGACAAGCACCCTTACTCCCATACTATGTCTCCAGCCTGTGTTCTCTCTTTAACACATATTTCCCCTCTTCCTCTTCTCTCACATCTTTCTAAGCAAGTTTTTGTTCAATAAAAACCATATTCGCTTCCCTAATTCCCTTCCCTCCTGCTGAATTTTTTTTCTGCAAAGACCCAAAATGCTGTGCCGAGGCTAGGATTGACTTTCATTTCCTGCAAAGAGCAATTCCTCTCTCCAGCCTGAGTCCACAGGAGAAATCAGGTGGCAGGGACATTTCCCCGCTGTGCTTAACAAGTGAACTTCAGGTGTATCTTGACAGCTGCCTCATGGGGCTTGTGGGACGTATGAATCTGTGCTGAGTAAGTGCAGAACTTATCAGTCCTCGTCCAAGCCAGGCATTTCCCCAAGAGCTGGCGGCCAATGAGGGTCAAGCAAGGATGTTAATACTTTTTTCTTGAGTCATCTTCCCTTCCTCTCCACTTTACTGAGTTATCAGCAACAATGCTAATGAATTACATCCTCAAAATATGAAGCTGTTGGGGCTGGAGCACAGCGGGTAGGGCATTTGCCTTGCATGTGGCCAACCCGAGTTCGATTCCCAGCATCCCATATGGTCCCCTGAGCATCCTGAGTGCAGAGCCAGGAGTAGCCCCTGTGCATCGCCAGGTGTGACCCAAAAAAGAAAAATATATATATATATATGAAGCTGTATTTCTGCTTATCTGTCTTAGCTTTCAAAATCAGTGCAGATATTACCTCTTTCAGCAGATTTCCCACAGGCTTCTTCCTCACTTCTTCCTCGGGTAGAATTGGGTGCTCAAGTCTACCTGCCCCATGACACACTGTTCCTCTTAACTCTTAGTTATCTCCTTATCTCCTTGAGGGCAGGACACAGTATTTTCTCTTTCTAGTTGTAGTTCTTATTTCAGTGCCTGTGTTTAGTGGGTAAGCACTTGAAATGTTCTCAATTGCATATACAGCTTCGAGCATAATTCAAGAATCAGTTTTAATGTTTGAGAATATGCACAATTCACAGGGCTACCATTGTTTTTTAACCAGGAAATGAAGAATAAAGAGCAGCGTATTACTTTTTTTTTTTTTTCCCTCCCGTTGATCGTCGATTTGCTCGAGCGGGCCCAGTAACGTCTCCATTGGAGACTTTGTTGTTACTGTGTCTGGCATATCGAATACTCTCGGTAGCTTGCCGGGCTCTCCGAGAGGGGCGGAGGAATCGAACTCGGGTCGGCCATGTTGGCCGCTTGTAAGGCGAACGCCCTACCCGCTGTGCTATCGCTCCACTTTTAGAGAATCTGAAATTCAGTAAGTACATTATAGATTTTTAAAAATTCTAGTACAATGAACAGTTTGAAAACAAAACCAAATGAAATCTGTCAATACTATGAGTAAAGATCCACTTAGAATTTTCATGGATGTACGAGCAGCACTGGAGCACTGTCCTCCCGTTGTTCATCGATTTGCTCTGAGCGGGCACCAGTTACAAGTCTCCATTGTGAGACTTACTTTTTTATTTTCTTTTTGGGTCACACCTGGCGATGCACAGGGGTTACTCATGGCTTTGCACTCAGGAATCACTCCTGGCAGTGCTCAGGGGACCATGTGGGATGCTGGGAATCAAACCTGGGTCGGCCGCATGCAAGGCAAACGCCCTACCCGCTGTGCTATCGCTCCAGCCCCTACTGTTTTGTTTTAGGGTCACACCTGGAGATGCACAGGGTTACTCCTGGCTCTGCGCTCAGGAATTACTCCTGGCGGTGCTTGGGGGACCATATGGGATGCTGGGAATTGAACCCGGGTTGGCCAAGTACAAGGCAAATGCCCTACCTGCTGTGCTATCGCTCCAGCCCCATACTGTTTTGACATCATGAATATGCGTGGGGAGCTTGCCAGGCTCTGCCATGCGGGCAGGATACTCTTGTAGCTTGCTGGGCTCTCCAAGATAGGGATATACTAGTACTACTAATACATCTCTCTTGGGTCAGAGAGATGATTCAACTGACAGCATGTTCTGCATAAGGGAGGTCTGGAGTAGGCTGAGGAGGAGCCCCTGAGAATCGCCCCATATGCCTCCCCCACAAAATGAAAGACAATAGTACAAAAAACTTTGTTTTGAGGTCACATCTGGCAGTGCTTAGCGCTTACTCCTGGCTCTGCACTCAAGGTTCACTCCTGGTTGTGTCACGTGAAAGGCCAATGCCCTACCTGCTGTACTGTTGCTGTGGCCCTGATTTTTTTTTTATCTTTTATAAAGAATAATTAATTTTTTAAAGATAAAAAAATTAAATGCCTGGAGCAGAAAAAATTTAATCCTCATAAAAGGCTTGTTAATTTTCAAAAGGCTGTTTTGTGATCTGGCCTCCTGTTGTAGCACTGATCTATAATCTGCATTCAGAGAGACTTGCATTATTTTCTTTTTTGGTGTTTCCTCGAATCTAGATTTGGATTTCTGTATTCATCTTCCCGTGGCCATTCCAGCTATCTTTGAGTCTCACCATCTGAAGTTAACATTAAAACTTATCAATTTTGATTTATCCCAGTGTATAAAGCATTAAACACAATCAAGCATCAATATTTATTAACACAAGACAAAGGAAACACATTCAATGAGTTAATAGAACACTGTCCAGCCAGATGTTAAATTTAAAAATGTATATCTAGTCTAATTTCAAATAAATAAAAAAAAACTTTGTACATAATTACACAGTACTATTGTTTGAGTTTGACACTGGTAAATATCTTGACAAAAAAAGTAAACAAAACAGCATTTAGGACAAAAAAAATTAGTTTTGTATTTTTACACTTGCTTCCTTGGACAAATAACATGGCCCATTTACATTTACCTAAACCAGAAATGTTGTATGGATGATAAAGAAAAGGCCTAAGGTGTGTTTGGAGCACTGCAGCTTCTTGCTCCAAATACACTTGCTTATACATCAAAGCAGACAACAAAAAACAACACTAAGGCATAGATTTTGTTGGAGTTTGAGGGTGAGGTGATAACTCCTCAATGCTTTAGTCTAAGATTCCTGGATATTCAAGGAAAGTAATTTATTTGGCCAAGATATTGAGCACCATGCCTGGGGCAGAGACCTTAATAAAAATCTAAGGCCTCAGGCCCTTTGTTGATTCAACAAAAGCACTAAGCAAGCATTGCCCAGGGACTAAAGTTAGGAGGCAAACTCATGTCAGGAAGATGGGATGGTCCCTAAATAGCCTGAGGCAGCATAACATCAGGAGGAAAGGACTTGGGAGTGGGTGGAGGTGGGCCAAAGAACCAGGGCCTTTAGAAGGCGGGAAGTAAACCTGTGGATTCACTGGTGTCTACTGGCATGCTGGTCATTTCCAGGGTCTCCCGCATGCAGCTCTAAGAATCCCCAGGGCCTAGGAGTTCTCCTGACCGACCTCAGTTACCTCTGCTGTTAGGCAGAAAAGAGGTTCAGAAACTTTCAGATGAACAGATTACAATGAACTAAGATGGGGACTTTGCTATTTATCTTTCACAGGCATAAAAACCCATACGAAATATGTTCCACAGGAATTGCAAGGTGTGTTTTTTAATAGATAATGGACTTTAGAGTTGGTTCTACCACAAAAGTTCTACTGATTATAAAAAGAACAAAAGCTCTGTGTAATCAAGAGAGTTGCCTTAACCAAGTCTACAACCAAATGGGATTCTGATATCTGAGAACCTACAAATGTCTTTAAGCCAATGACTGAATTCATCCCCCTTCCAGAGAAACACTCTATCAGAGTTACTGATAAAGTTCCCAAGACTGTGGACAAGAGGGAGCTTTCCATTATTAGCAAATTCTGGCTTTGAAGGCTATGCAAAGGATCAAGAAATCATCTATACAGTATAAACAAAACAAAACAAAACAAAAAACCCCCCTAATGTCTCAAGGAACTACAAAACTAGAAAATCAGCCCCAAAGTAACTGGGAATGAACCTCACTCTGAGATTAATAGGAGTATATTATTTGAAGGAATGACAATAGATTAACACAGTCCAGTATCATAACCATAGCCTGTAGCTACTGAAACTTGAAATATGGCTAGTCCACATTGGTATACTTAATACGCTTACTCAATTGATTTCAAAGACAACATGATTAAAAAAAAAAAGCAAAATATCTTGGGAATATTTTTCATTTTGAGCCCATGTGGCAGTGATAGAATCTTGATCTTTAGCTTAAACAAAAATAAGTTAAAATCAGTTTAATCTGCTTCTTAAAATTTCAATGTGTGGGTGTGTGGTGCCAGGGATTAAACCCAGGCCTATAAGGCATGAGCTTTACCCCTGAGCCACTCTCTTGGCCCTGCTTCGTTTCACTTTTTCACAATGTGCTTTCTAGGAAAAGTTAAATGACAGACGTGGTTCACATTCTATGTCTAATAGACACATGAACTGTGTAGTAAGAATTTTCAAAATCATCCATAGGATACATTCTGCCCTTTTTATCCTTTCTTAGAATGTGTGGATTTTGGAGAGAGATGAAGGTTGGGGGGGGGGGGGGGTGGGTGGAGGAATCTGGGCCGCACCAGGCGCAGGGATCATGCCTAGTGATGCTCAGGGGACCATATGCAGTGCCGGGGATCAAACGGGTTAGCTGTGGGCAAGGCAAGTACAGAAACCTCTGTACTCTCTCTCTAGCCACCAAGATAAAACTACTTAACCCTCAGGATCCCTTGCTTTTTCTTTTCTTTTTCAGTAAATCACTAAGACTATTAGAAAATTACTTTCTGAATAAGTAGGCAATTTTCTCTGCAAACCAAACCGTTGCAAGACACTGGATTTTCTAGGCCCAATGTTGTTTTTTTTCCCCCCTGTATACACTAGAACAGTTCCCATCACACGTAAATTAACTTCATACAAAATGCTGAAAAAGAGAGCTGGAACTGGAAAATGCCTTGAGGTCTGCCTCTGTGGAGAATGAGTTGGGAGGAAAAGAGGATTATGTAAAAGGAAGAGTCATAAAGTGGCTTAGAGACTTGTTGTAAGGAGGATTATGTAAAAGGAAGAGTCATAAAGTGGCTTAGAGACTTGTTGTAAGGGCAGCCCCCAAGAATGCTGCCCTGGTGAGGGGTCTGGTCTTTGCATTATAAACCTTATTTTCAGGGTAATTACAAGTCTTAAAAATTGTTTAAAAACATATTTAGTTTACATGATGTTACAGTGGGGGTAAATGATATGTATTATTAAAATAGCCTAAATAAATATTTACACAATAGACCAGAGTGGGTCAAAGAGAACCATTCTGATTTAACAAGTTAACTCTGTTCACTTTTGAGTTTTAATTTTTAAAAATATTTCTGTAAGAAAAAAATAATAAAATTCAACTATATTCAAATACATGAAGTATCAGACCAAAGAAAGGAAACTGAGCCGGACGCCAAACTCAGTCTCGGGCTCAGTCCGCTTGGCCAGGGCACCACAGTTATTCCAAAAGTTTCTTGAAAACATCAGCCTTCCCCTACTGCAGCATAAGCCTGTCGTCTATTTTGGCAACCCAAAATGATCAGCTCTGAGATGTCGAGTCCTGTAGCCTTACTCGCTCAAGTGACTATCGAGAGATCCCGCTGCCTTCCCAGCTAGCTTATCACCTGCTCTCGAACCCCTTGTGCACCTTGTGAAATGTGCATGCAGTGCACTTTGCAGGAAGAAGTAGCTCTGTATACAAACTGCACGCACGGCTTATGATGGGGGGCTGGAAAAGAGGAAAGTCTCCAATATTATGCAGTCTCAGCAGTTTCAACACTGGGGGCCAGAGTGCAGTATCCGGGTTCCTTAGGACAGGGTGGGACTTAGTGAATCTCAGTTTGTCCACAACATTTTGATTCCTAAACAGATTTTCAGCTTACAGAAATAGGTTGAATTCTTAAAAGCTTAAGCTGATTCTGGGAATGCAAGCTTTAAAAACGAATACAGGCAGCTTGAGTTTATAAAATACACCAGCCAGAAGAGACACAGTACAACGTGCAGTAAAATCTGCCAACAATTTGCACTTTTTGGTCATCTATTCAATTCCACTGCACTACGAGAGTTCTAAAATTCTCTCAAAGCACAAATGTTGCTATTTTGGTTGTTAATAACTATACAAGCCAATTCTTCAGTTTTTTTTTTAAGCTGAATTATGTGTATTCTTATTTACATGTTTAAAACACTGGTCAAATGTTTTACAGTTAGGAATTTATATATATGTGCATATATATAACGTAATTCTCATATTCAGTGGGTTATCAGTTTTGCTTATGTGTCGACTCCATGTTAACAAAGCCCACAGGATGCCTAGCGATGATCAAATGGCAGAATACAGTACAGAGCGGGGAACTGTGTAACTCAGACTACCCCCTTCCTGTGAATTCATTCGACTCTCTTACAAAATTCTAAAAGAGCATTAGGTAAAAATACAAGTATATACAACAGATGAAAAAAATGCAACATGCATGTAATTGCTTTAGTAACGTGCTGCTCACGCTAGGTCCAAGCTCATGACTAACAGATTGTTAACATTTTTTTCATTTGCCATCTCAGAATTCCCCTTCCCTGTACACTGAGTGCAGAATTCCACAGGATGAGATGAAGTATCTAAAGTAGCTGTCCCAGCTTATTTCTCATCATCTGAACGCTTGCTTCTAGTCCCAGATCTTTGGTCCTTGTGGTTTTTTAGGATGGGCCCTTGAAATCTCCACAAGGCTGGTTACATGTTATATGCCACATAGATGGGGTCTAACTGGTCGGCAAGGAAACTGTCACGAAGGTGCATCCTCTGCTTCTCTCCTCTGGAGTTAATGGGGATAACACCTGGGTCCACCACAACCACGACTCCAACGATGAGGTAATGCTCTTCCAGGACCACGTTTGTCACTAAAGGAACCAGATCGAGGGCTTCCTGCTCAGAGCCACACAGTTCCACAACCACCACAAGCAAGTTGGTCCATGTAAATACGGCACTGAAATGAGAATGACATTCAATTATTGTCACCATTGCTGTCAGTTATCTTTTCTTACATATGCCCAGGACTTGGTCCTATCTCCTGGAGAAGTGCTTTTTTTCCTTGGATCCACTCAAAGAGTAGGAGCCATCTCAGTGATATGTAATCTGACTGCAGGATCACAGCTATTTGGCTGAACCACCAAAAATCTCGTAGGAGTCTAAAAGTGGAATGGGAAGTTGTGAGTGCATCATGTGAGGGAAGGATATGTGGCCTTTTGATCCCTTGTTTCTATCTCCCTTGAGATCCAGAGACACAAGCCTGAGATACCCAGGTATTCTATTTACCCTCTCTTTTGCTTAAGCTTTCCTGTTTGGATTTTGGGCCACTCTCAGCAGTATTCAGGGGCCGCTCCCAGCTCAGTAATTGCGTTCCGCACTGCTTGGGGACCATGTGTAGGTATAACCCTTGGCCTCCTGCACGCACAGCATATGTTCCAGTCCTCTGAGCTGTCTCTCTGATCCTGACAGAAGACATACGCAACAGAAGAGTTCTGAGAATAGAACATGATTTTGGGGGGTGAGGAGGTACGTGTAGAGGTTCAGTCAGCCTCAGTGGTTCTTAAACCTGGGGTGTTTGGGTCTGTTTTGTTTCTTTGGTTTAGAGGCCACATCTGGCATCGCTCAGGGCTTATTCCTGGTGTTACCTTCCTGGCAATACTTAGGGGACCTTTTGTGGTAATGGGGGATTAATCTGGGGTTGGCTGAATGTAAGGCAAACTCAATTCCTGAACTATTTCAATGGCCCCAATATTAATTTTGTTTTGGACCACACCCTGCAATACTCAGGGCTTACTCCTGGCTCTTGAGCAGGGATCATCCCTAGGCATGCTTGGGGTACCATATGCGGAGCAGGGGATCAAACTGGAGTTGGCCATGTGCAAGGCTAGTGCACTCCCTGCTCTCTCTATTCCTTTTTGGCTTGCTAAAACAACACTCTCCCACCTAATAAGAAATGCTTTGGCTAGTACATTGTCTTGCACTGAGTGGGACTGCTGCATTGGCAGGTACGGCCTACTGTAATGTGCAGAACTTAACTGGTTAAAAAAAACACACACACAGTAAATGGATTCCAGGTAAGGGAAAACATAAACAATATTAAGCAAACTAAGAGAGAAAGAGACCTTAGAACTGGTCTAAAAGCATGTCATGGTCACCAGCATATTCTGAATTTTGTTTTGTTTTTGGGCCACACTCAGCTATGCTCAGGGGTTATTCCTGGGTCTGCACTCAGAAATTACTTCTGGTGGTGCTTGAGCACCATGTGGGGTGCCAGCGATTGAAACTGGGTTGGCTTGTGCGAGGCAAATGCCCGACCTGCTATATTATCGTTCTGGTCTCTCTAGGGACTTTCTTGAGGCAAGATATCAGGCGGGTCCCTTTCAGTGCCTCTTATTAACCCAGCTTCACAGACATTCCTCTGAGTCAGTCTCAGGGTCTCTGGGTCCTCTCTGTCACAGCAGCTGGCACACCAAAACTGGAATGAATTCACCTCCTTCCTTCCTATCTTCCCTTGTTCCCCCTCTCTGCAGGTGGGAGGGCTGAGGGCTGACAATTAAGGGCTGGTTGAACTGGCACATGGCGGAGCTAGGAAAGCTATTCTGCGAGGGCTTTACCATTCGGCAATGCTCCTGTGGACCCGGGACACTGAGGTCTCAATATCGATCGGGTGGTATCTCAGGCCTCTCAGCTCCAGCGTTTCATCCAGAGCCCCCACAACATACAACGCATCGTGACGCTCTGACAGAGAGAAGAGAGACGTTTGGTTAATCAGACCTGTAAGTACAGGACAGGGCTGGGGTTCAGAGCCCAGAGTTTGATGCTGCCTCATCGCCTGGCGCCATACTCGCCAACTGTGTGATGCAGAGTAAAGTGCACGGCCTCTGGGTGGAGCAAGACTGTGAGACAGGTGACAAGAAATGGCCGCTGTGAAGATGAAGTGGGGAGATCCATATCGGGAAGTTAGCATGACGCTTGGTACGCCGTAAGTAACCACAAAATTAGCAATTTTCATCATCACCATCATTATGTGTTGTGAATTGTGTGGGCTGAAGAAAGCCAGTGGCAACTTGTCTTGCCGGGAGAGAGAAGAGCGAGAGAGAGCGAGAGCAAGAGCGAGAGCGAGAGCGAGAGAGAGAGAGAGAGCGAGAGAGCGAGAGAGCGAGAGAGAGAGAGAGAGAGAGAGAGAGTGCTTGGTAGCACCAAAATAAAATAAAAGAACGTCAGGCTGTGCTACTGGCTGAAATGCAAGCTTGGCACACAGGCAAGTGTCGGTGAAGAGATACCTCCGGTGGCTGCAGTCAGCTCCGTCCGGCGAACAAAACCAAGGTATCCCGTCCGCGCCCAGAGAGTCTGAGCAGCATCTCCGAAGCTGAGGCGGGTGTTGAAATGATCGGCTTGAAGAGTCTCACTGTCGTAGATCGTGTAGTAGCCGCTAGCTGTGTGGGGACTGTTTACCCAAATCTACAGAAAGACAAGGAACACACAAAGTCAATCTCCTTGGCACAGATTGGTTTTTAAATCACATGCCTACAGGAAGAACGGCAACACAATTGCAACAGAAAAGGCTGTTGACATTTACCAAGTATTTTTTGTGCTCACAGTAAAAGCTGGGCCTTTCTGACACAGATCTATGAGTCCTGAGAGTAAATTATATGGCGATGTTGCATGTACTTAGCTTATTTCCCTCTTATCATCGAAAAACAAGGTAAACGCGCCCAAAACGCAGAAACTAGGAAACTCTTAACCATGCCCCTTATCCTTCCTCCCCCCTGCTTCCTTTCTGCCTCTCTGGGGGCCCACAGATGCATCAGGGCATCATTTCTGTGCCCCCGAACCTAAAACCTTAGAAAAGAACTACAGAGGATATTTGAATTTTGAATCTGAACATGGCATAGCTAACGACAATAAGAACACTGGTACTCATGTGAGACACTCAATGAATCTTACACAATTCCACTAAGTCGGTGAGGGAGTGTAATTACTATTTCAAGATGAAGAAAGAGGCCCTGAGAACTTAAGCAACTTGCTATATATGTGGGAGGAGTTATACTCAGCTCCATGCTTGCAGTGGGTGTACGTGTGTGTGTGTGTGTGTGTGTGTTTGTGTGCGCGCACGCGTGCACGCCCGGGCACATCTCATGCAGGACTGGGCATGGTACCCAGGTTTCCTGCATACAAATCATGTGTCCCTGCCCTCTGAGCCTTCTTCTCCTCCCTAAGGCTTTTTTAAAAAATATTTATTTATTGAATCACTGTGGGAAAAGTTACAAAGCTTTCAGGTTGAAGTCTCGGTCATGCAATGATCAAACATCTTTCCCTTCACTTATCTTTCACCACCAAGAGCCCCAATATACATCCCCTTCCACCCCTCCCAATGCCTGTGAGGCAGATGATTTCTACTTAACTTTCTATCTACTTTGATTACATTCATTATTTCGACAGAAGATGCACCATTATTGTTTAGAGTTTCCACCCAACAATCAGAACTGCTAAAAAGGCGTTGTGAAATAATTTTTTTTCTGTAGCTGATTATGAGAACCAAATGATACTGCGCGGCCGCCATAGCAGCTGCGCGATTTTGGATTTCTGATATTTTACTTATTAAGTCTGGAGGGATTTCTGCCAAGAGCCAGATAATTACGAGATTGGTTTCTGTGGCTCTGGAGCCGTGGCCGTGCCGGAGAGCTGCTTGTGGGGGGCAACTCGTGACCTCGGTAGGGTGTGAAGGACGAGCCGGGAAAGCCCCCCTTCCCATGATGTTGCAGTTGCCCCGTCACCGCCGGCTCATACCTGGCTTCCAGTAAGCTCTGAGGCGGCTGCCATCTTGCTGCCCGGAGGGAAAAAGCCTAAGGCTTTTTTGCAATGAAAACTCACAATGACAGAAAAGTTAAACCTACAGTTCAAAGTGTGAACCGAAAAATCTTTCAGTACTGACTTTTCAGAATAAAGGTGAACATCGTCCTTACCTCCCCAAGGTGAGAATCTCCAACAGGCCCTTTGGTCTCGGGATTAACAATAACCACTTTCACTCCGGGTAAAATCTAAGGGTGAAAGAGAGAGAGAGAAATGGGGCTGGAGTGATAGCACAGCGGGTAGGGCGTTTGCCTTGCACGCGGCCGACACGGGTTCGATTCCCAGCATCCCATAGGGTCCCCCGGGCACCGCCAGGGGTAATTCCTGAGTGCATGAGCCAGGAGTAACCCCTGTGCATTGCCGGTGTGACCCAAAAAGCCAGAGAGAGAGAGAGAGAGAGAGAGAGAGAGGGAATGCGCTTCAGAGACTGACAGCCTGCTTGCCTCCCTCCAACACAATAAGCAGTGCTCCACGGGTCATCAGTGACAAGGTACGCAGAAAAGCCTCTCAAAGACATGCAGTCAACCATCTATGCAGAGGGGGAGCAACTTCTGAGCACAACTGTGGCAGTCAGCATTTATAGACTAATGGGACCATGAGCTCACCTGTCACTAGACCAACGACAGTGAGCCCCTGAAGGCAGGGGAGCAGAGGGGGCTGCCTGGGAGGTGCCCAGTGCATGCCAGCAGAACAGAAGCTTTAGGAAGGAGATGGCAGCAGCTCTGTGGAGTGGAGACATTCAGTCCCTAGGATTCTGGCAGAGATTATGTGCCAGGACCTCCCTCAGGAAGGAAAAGGAAGAAACAGGTGCAAGAGAATGGACAAGGCCTCATACAAGGAAGGCCTCTCAGGTTTTCTGTATCTGTCCTTAAAAACCACCCTTCGGAGGCTGGAGAGAAAGTACAAGGGTTATGGCACTTGCCTTGCAACGTCACAGCCTGAGCATTTTATTTATTTATTTTTTGCTTTTTGGGTCACACCCAGTGATGCTCAGGGGTTACTCCTGGCTCTGCACTCAGGAATTACTCCTGGCGGTGCTTGGGGGACCATATGGGATGCTGGGAATCAAACCCGGCTTGGCCGTATTTAAGGCAAATGTCCTACCTGCTATACTATCATTCCAGCGCCCTGATTTGATTCTGAGCACAGCCAGGGGTCACTCTCGAGCACAGAGTCAGGAACAGCCCCTGGGTACAGCTGGATGTGGCCCTACACTCTCCCGAATAAAAAATTCTATTGTTTCTGTTTTGGGAGTTCCTCCCAGAAATTCTCATCCAACTAGGCCAGCAATTTAATGCAAGGGCCCGAGGACGCACGTCATGCCGGGGGTTTCCTGGGCGCTACTCTGCAATGCTCGGGGCACCATGTGGTGTCAGGGAACAAACTAGGGTTGGCTACATGCCTGGCAAGAGAGTTTACCACTTTACCACTGTACTGTCTCTAGAGTCCCTAAGTCCTCCCCTCTTCATCTGGAGTTTCTGGAGTATATGAGTATCAGAGATCTACAGTGACTGAAGAAGTTCCCACCAGTCCCGCCAGTCAGCTAATGCTCAGCTGGGGCATAGATAAGATCAGAAGAGTGAACCCCGAGTAACCTCCCAGGGGGTGACTGACCATCACTTGTGGTGATGGAATAAAACCTGCACATGCAAAGTGCCTTACCGCTGAGTTACGTGCCAGGCGCCACTGGCACTTGTGGTGGGGATTGAACCCACAGCCTCAAACGTGTAAGGCAAGCAACTGCAGTTCCATTAAGGAATTTATTTTTCTGTCTTATCTACCCACCCGCATCCAGGGCCACCGGGTGCTGACACTCGAACCCAGTGCCCCACAGAAACAAAATGTACTCTACTAAAGACACATCTCTGGTCTCAATGGTTCCTTCTGTGACACTCAAACTTCTCTGCATTTCTCAATTACCGCAAGGGATTTTTCGGTACCATCAGTATCTCTTCGAAGAACTGAGTCAATGGATTGCTTCCGCTAATGTTCTATCATCCAATGTAGTGACAAGACTGCAAACTCTGAACCGGCGCCCCAACCAACAAGTGCCCTTGGAATCCCTCTGCTCGGAACTGTGAGGAAGAAGTTTCTGCTGTTCATAAGCCCAGTCTCCAACACTGTTACAGAAGCTTGAGTGGACTTGAACAATAAATCTTTCCAGAATATTTTACAGCTTCACTCTAAGAAACCTTACCTTCATCATCTGTTCCCTGTTTTATCTTTTAACTTTAAATATGTATCTTCCCTGACATTATGTACATTTCCTCTTTGTACATTCTCCTCCTCGTAACATTACAAAGATAAAACTGGCTTGTCATTTTTATACTTTTTTTCAGGGGAGGTGCCCGGGTTTGGGCTGCTCCAGCAAGCCTGGCCCTGCTCTCGGGAGTCACACACACAAGGCGCGTCCTCCGCCCCTTGCCCGCTCTCTCGCCACTTGTCCTGGCTCCTTTCAAGTGCTGCTCCTCTTTCTACCTTGAATATAATGAACCCTGAATCTTGCTGGGATGTGAAGGAGAATATGCCACGGAAAGGTTTATTTTTATTTTGTTTTGCAGGACAAGGAATTGAACCCAGGCCCTCATATATGCAAGGTGAGCGCTCCTTGGCTGAGCTCATCCCTGCTTCCGTTAAAAAAGTGGGGAGAGAGGGAAGTTGGAAATGAAGCAACTTTAAATCCAGTATCTGATGAAGTTTTTGTTTTTGATGATGCTCAGGGCCTACTCCTGGCTCTATGCTCAGGGATTACTCCTGGTGGTGCTCAGGAGATCATGGGGTGCTAGGGAATTGAACCCAGGCTAGTTGCATGCAAGGCAAGGGCCCTACCCGCTGTACTGTCGCTCTGACTCCTGTGTCCTGTAAACGTCAAAGTACTTGCTAAGTTAAAATGTTCAAATATCTGCAGGTTTCAATTCAGTCTTCCCTGAGTACTGAGAAATCCAACACTTTCATTTTTTGAATGACCCTCTACACACAGACCATTTTCCCAGTGAGTAAGAGAACAAATTACCTTTCCAGACTCGGAGAGGAGCAAGCTCTGTGGGGCGCCCCGTTCCACAAGACGAACCCTGTGGAAGAACAACATTTTCTCCATGACAGTGTTCTGTCCGTTCCCGTGCCTGAGGGCTGGAGCCGCCTCTCCAGACCCCCAGTTGGTCTCCCCCCGCACAAGAGGAGTCTCTCAGGCTCATCACTGCTATCCTGGGTCAGGGAATTCTCTGGGTAAGGTTCCCCTGTGCACTCTAGGACATGCAGCAACATAGCAGGCTTTCACCCACTAGATGTCAGTAGCTCCCCCTTGATAAGCAGAAAGCATCTTTAGAACTGTCCTTTGTCCTCTAAGGGGCACTGTCCAGACTGAAGACCTTCATATGTCCATCTTGAGATTTTCCCAGGCAGCCTGGGACTGTGGGTTGAAACTCTGGGCTCTGCTTTTTTTTTTTTTTAAATCCTGTCTGTCCCATCTCTTATTTTCAAAGAGGAGAGAGCATCCGTTTCCATTAAAAGTCTCAAAATGCATTTACACAGGCAAGAACTAAGTATTACTTTCCACTGTGGAAATTAAAGCTTTCTTCTAAGTGTAAACAAGCTTGTAATCTGGCTAGAACATTAAAGAAAAAATCCTTCTTCCTTTTTCCTTTGTCGGGGTGGGGGCTGGGCCACCCCTGGCGATGCTCAGGGGTCACTCCTGGCTCTACACTCAGGAATCCTGGCAGTGCTCGGGGGACCATAAGGGATGTTGGGACAGAAACCGGGCCTGTCGCATACGAGGCAGGCGCCTCACCCGCGGTGCTATAGCTCTGGCCCTCCTCCCTCTTTCCTAGGTGTGAATCTTATCAGACGCTGAAAGCAAATCCCCTCCCTCTACACACACCCCTTGAGAAGACACAAACGAAAGACGTAAAGAGGGCTGCCAGCTTTCGTGTGAGGCGCAGAACCTTGTGTGCAGGTAATCTGGGAAAGGCCACCCCAAACTACTGCACCTGTCGTGTCGGAGTGACTTCAGATCCACGTACACAGTTGTTGGATCAGGCCCTGAGGTTCCCTAAAAATAAAAACGTTCTTTAGTTTAAATCGAAATAATTTCCATATTCTGTATTTTCAAATCAAGAAATACATTATTTGGCCACGTACAGAAAACCCTCCAATTCTATTGCTGAATTTCACATCCCTCAACAGTGAAGTGGGGTTGCAGCCGGCCCTGAGGGACAGCCTGGGTATTTTCTGGTTTGTTTTGGAACCGCATCTGGCAATGACTTGAGGACCATGCAGTGCTGGGAACAAAGTATCCATTTGAGCCCTGGCTCATACCCCTCACCAGCTTGGTCTCTTCTGGCCACAAGTGGCAGTGCTTAGGGCTTACTCCTTACTCCTGGCTGTGCTCAGAGATCACTCCTAGAGGGCTTGGGGACCATCTGGGGTGGGGGGGTTGAACCCAGATCGAATGCTTGCAAGGCAAGCTCTCCAGCCCTGACAGACTGGTTTTAGCCTCATGTTCTCTTTCTTTCCCAGGACAGCAGGGCCCTACCCACAAGAGCCACAGCGGCACTGAAAGGTCACCAGGCTGAGACGGTTCCATCCCCGCACTCAAAGCAGGTGAGACAGGTCTACTCTAAGGACTTCCAAGTCAGCACTGTCCAGGCTGACGGTCAGTAGCCCACAGTGCGCTCCAAGGTGAGTGTGCCCCGACACTTGGATGTCACAATGCAGTGGATATGAAGCGACCTCACACAGACCTTTACTTGCACTAAGAGCTTCTAAACGACATGGAATCAGCTCCATTCTTTCTTTTTTCTTTAATTTTTTATTAGTGAATCACTATGAGGTACAGTTACAAACTTACGAACTTTCGTATTTCAGTCATATGATAATTGTTTACCCATCCCTCCACCAGTGCCCATTCTCCTCCACCGATGTTCCCAATATTTTTTCCCACCACTCCCACCCCATCCTCCCCCATCCCCCGCCTCTGTGGCAGGGCATTCCCTTTGGTTCTCTCTCCTTTTGGGTGTTGTAGTTTGCAATAGACGTGTTGAGTGGCCATCATGTTCGGTCTATAGTCTACTTTCAGCATTCAACCTGAATGGATCCTCCTAACATCCTTTACTTGGAGTTCCCTTCTCTCTCTGAGCTGCCTTTTCCTCCAGCTGCCTTTTCCAAACCATGGAGCAGACCTCCTGGTCCTTATCTCTACTACCCCTGGGAGTTAATCTCCCATTCTGTTACTCTATATTCCACAGATGAGGGAATGAGTTCCATTCTTCCCTGGTATCTCAGTCCCTTTTTGTTTTGTGGTTTTAGGCCTCACTCAGGAATCACTTCTAGAGGTGCTGGGGGGACCATATGTAATGCCAGGGATCAAACCAGGGTGGGCCGCATGCAAAGGAAGTGCTTTATCCCCTATGGTGTCTCTCTGGCCCTTGGTCTCTTTTTGTCATTCACCCACTAATAACATGGCAAGTCTATCTCTGGTTGGAGGAGAGAATACAGCCTTATCTGTGCTTCCCCTGGGGAAAAAGGTTATAGAATATGAAGGAGATCAAAAACAAAGGAGATTAAAAAAAAAGATGCATATCATGCTCACTGCAGCACCACTCACAACAGACAGGACTTTGGGAACCAACCCAAGAACTCAGCAACGGGAGAACAGATAACGAAGCTGTGGCTTGTATACATGGTGGAATGCTAACCAGCTATGAGAAAATCGGAAAACCAGCAGTTCGCAGCAACGTGGATAGAACTAGAGGGTATCACGGCAAGGACGTGCAGGATGATCTGAGTCATATGTTGATATAATGGAACAAAGCAAGGGAATGGGTAATGTCTAACGAAAACAAACACTTCTGCTGTCCTGACAACAGCACTGAAGCAACCTGGGTGGGGCCAGGGATGTGCATGTGTGTGAGAAACTGGCCAGAGAGATGGGCAGAGCACAGAGAACTGACAGGTGCCCAGGAGGGTTCTTCCACTTTGGTAGTGGTTCAGTGACTGTATGTGCCAAAGCATTAATATCACTGTACCTCAATTTATTGAATATTTTTACTATTTTGGGGGGCCATACTTGGCAGTGCTCAGAGCTTACTCCTGGTGGGAACTTGGCGGGGGAGGGTGGTGGTGAGGGGAATACAGGGTGCCAGGGATTAAACCCGGGTCAGCTGCATGTAAGAAAAATGCCCTACCTACTATACTATCTCTCCATCCTCTGTCCCTCAATTAAAAAGAATAATGAAATAAAAAAATGTAAGAGATTATATACACCCCCGTACTATTTTCTTTGGTATTCAACTGCTGGGTGTGGCCCCCAGTACCTGGCACTGAGAACTCAATATGGCACTGCGAAAGAGGGATCATACTAAGTCCTCATTACCTTTATTTCACAAAGCAGTGAAATGGGGCCCAGGGAAGTCCAAAGAGGACTCCCATCCCCCAGCAGGTGAGAGGAGCTTGTGGATACTCCAGCCTGAGACCTCTGCTGAGGGCATCCCACCTTCCATTCCCTTTTGTCCCCAGATCAAATTCCATTAGTCACCTGCAAACATATTGCTACATTGACTCTTGATCCAAACGTGGTGCTGACAGCCCGAGGGGACAGACCGATGTCCTTAAAGAGTTTGGAGAAGGACTGTTGCAGGGCGATTCGGGGCCGCTCCTCAGCCACCACCACACAGGTCCGGATGCACGAGAGATTGATCCCTCTGGTCTGTGAGACACGGAGCCAAGGTCAGTGGGGTCACCACAGGGTTAAAAGGGGTGGCAGAAGCAGGCTCTGTCTCTGCTCAGGAAGATCCACAGAGTTGCAAGTTTTTAGCCCAGACACCATCAGAAAAGAAACACTCAGCACTTTCAGAATATCATTATCATGGCTGGATCTGCCATTATGTTTCTTCTCCCCTTCATCTAAACCTTTCAGGTTCTGCAGCAATTATTTTAATCCTCTGCATGCCTGCATATCATTTTTCATTTCATTTCATCATCCTGTTAATCGTCGATTGCCTCGAGCAGGCCCCAGTAACGTCTCTTTCATCCTAGCCCTGAGATTATATTCAGGGCTCTTTAGGAGAATGAGACCCATCATTGTTACTGGTATTTGGCATATTTGGTAGGCCACGGGGAGTTTGCCAGACTCTGCCCTGTGGGCAGGCTACATTCGACAGCCTGCAAGTTTGTCCAAAGTAGGAATGAGATAATAAGATGTCGCGCGGCCGCGAATGCGGCCGCGCGGTTCCGGGATCTGGATTTTATATGCCTGCATATCAGAATTTCAAAATGGAGAGAAGCAGCTAAGGCCCCAAACCAGCTAGAAATCTACGGATTAACTCATTTCTTTTTTCATTCTTCGGGTCATTGATCTTAGTGAAAGAAGAGTCAGTGTTTTCTGACTTCTCATGACAGTCAGAGCTATGATCACTGGATACATACGAATGCGCTACCTTATCTTTGGGCCATTTCCCCAAGAGCAAATATTCTGAGACTGTATATTCTATAGGAATAAAACCCGTTGAAGGTCACGGTTTTCATCATCTTTACACAAAGCAATTTCCACTCAGCGTGCCAACAAATCTCACCTTCCGCCCAAAGTGACTAACATTAAACTCTGAAGGAGTGTGCTAGTAAAAAGGCGATGAGATCAACTTCCTGAGGTTTACAAAACACCTATTTGATCGGCCATTAAAAATTGCTGGCAGTCATTTGTTTCCCCTGTGCCATTTCTTCAAAACTCCTCAGGATGGAGTGAGCAGCAGCTGCTTCTCACCTTTAGCACCTCCACCTGGTTTCCAAGTCCTTTGGTGCAGAGCTCCATTACTGAGTAGGAGCAGAAAGTATCCCTTATTTTGTACTGGTTGACAGTGGACAGCCAGAGGAAAAGGTTGTTTTCTAACTCCATAGGAGGAATTAAGATGGACTGGTGACCTGAATACACACTGCAATGGAAAAGGCAAGAGTTAACATTATCAATCTGTCCCAGACACGTGAGTGTTTTAGAACATCATCAATTCCACAGACGTTTACTGAGTTATGAAGGACGGCGTAAGGTAATGTCAGATATGCAAGCCACAAGACAACAAACATAAAATAAAGCAGCTGGACTGTGCAGTAAATAAAATATGCATAAAAAACACTGAGGTCACAGAATAAAGAGTAAGTCGTTCAGTTTGAACAGGGGGTTGTTCCAGAGAATGAGTGACAATGAGCTTGAAGGAAGATATTTCTGAGTGGCTGGAGAAAGTGGGGATGGCAGTGAAGGGACTGAGGCAAAAGAAGAGCACGTATGAGGGAGGCAGAGAAGCAAGGGGGTGCTCAAGGTACTTGGGAATAGCACTCCAGGGTGAAGTCTTGGAAAACAGGCTGCATGGGGAAGAGGTGAGAGAGCCGTGAAGCCAGGAAGGTTGGGGCCAAATGACAGACGAGCTCAATGAGCACAGGATGAGCCATGTGATCCCTCAAATTCCTACACCTGGATACGGGTCCAAGTCACAGGAGCCTGTTTTGAAAAAAATAGTGGAATCTCTGCCTCTAGAGATTTAAGTATATCCGGTGAAGGTGATTTACCTGGTGAATTTTATGCACAGCAAATTTTGCAAACAACTGAGCCAAAGGACATGGTATTTAATTAGATGTGAGACAGAGAGAAGTAGAAGTCGGAAAGCTCCAAGTTTGGTTCCCTATTAGGAATGGTGCCATCCTAACAAAGGAGAGGACAGAGAGAGGCTGGTGAGTACAGGTGTCCAGGAAACATGCATGGGGATGCCTCCCAAGGAGGTGACAGCATTGGTCTGAGCTCAGTTCCTTGGGTGGGCGAAAGTGGGCAGGAAGTCTGCTGCTCCACAAGACACATTCCGGCCAGAACAGCCGGGCTACCGTCCAGTACATGCTGGCAGTCCTTCTAGTCCTTCCTTTCATGCCTAGGGGTACATTCTGGCTGTCAAAGCCTGATAAGGCACACCGAGTACTATCTTCCCACTTGGCTCTACTTCTAACATGGGGATTATAGGATGGAGCGGAGGGCAGGTAACCTGATTACTGTGTGTTGGGGTGAGGCATAAAACATGAGAGACAAATACCAGAGATAAGTAGGTGCACCAATTTTGGAAACAAGCATTACACTGAAACTGATGAATTAAGGGAAAGATGGAAAAGATGATATGGTTATGGTACACCCAGAGACAACGCACACAGTCTGTTTCTTTACATTTCCATTCCTACCTGCAGAGACACCATAATGCAAAGCCAAGTCCACAGTAAGGATCAAGGCAGATGGCGATCTGCCGTGTGGAGTACAACTCGCACTGGAGCTTGATGGCTCTACAGAGAGCGTTGACCGCAGAGTGGGACATCTGGCAAGCAAGGAACAGGGAACAGAATGGAACTGGAATCCCACAAGCACAACAATAACTCAAATTTAGTTTTGAGAACTTGCAACTTCTCATTCTCCCAAGCTCCTCAAAATGATACGTATTTTCGATTGCTGCTGCAAAGCCTTATCTAAGTCTGGGCTGGAGTTATAGTACAGTGGATTGCACACGAGAGGCCAGGGTTCAATCTCTGGCACCCCATAAGGTTCCCAGAGCACCACCAGGAGTGATCCCTGAGCTAGGACTTAGCCCTGAGCTGGATGGGGTGCAAAAACAAAAACAAGAACAACAGGAAAAAAAAAAGAGCAAAGCCTAATCCAAGTCTCATTTGAGAAATTTCCTGTCATAGCAGATGTTTTGGTCCGGGAGCCTTGGTTTTGATCCCCGCACCACATAGTCCCTCAAGCACTGTGCTGGGAGTAGCCCCTGAGCACTGCCATGTGTGCCCCATATTAAATTAAAAATATGTGCAGGTACTTTATTTCTGTCATTAGTCAAGACTGGGTTTTGTGGGGCTGGAGCAATAGCACAGCGGGTAGGGCATTTGCCTTGCACATGGACAACCCGGGTTCGATTCTCAGAATCCTCTATGGTCCCCTGAGCACCGCCAGAAGTAATTCCTGAGTGCATGAACCAGGAGGGACCCCCATTGTCGGGTGTGACCCAAAAAGGAAAAAAAAATTGGGTTTTATGAAATAGGAACCTACAGTTCCAGACTGGCTCAAACTGTAACTCTGTTAGGCTCTCTGTTAACACTTTGCACATAACACAAATTTCTTGGGATAACTGACTCTGGAAGAGTCAATGCTTTCAGTTAAATATAGCAGGGCCCTTGATCCCCCACCTACTACTCAGTGGTACAGCTGGTTGGCTTCCGCACTGGAAGTCCGCAGAGCAGTGGTCATGTCTATTTTTTGCAGACCTGGCATTTTCCCAGCATGCAGTGCGGAGTGAACATATCCAGCCCACTCTACCTTTACTCCTGTGAGCATGCCTGTGGTGGAGACACTGAAATCAAGGTATGCCAACATCTCAGGAGTGGGAGGTTTATACAGCTGAGGTAACCTTTTCCTGGGTAAATCATCTGCAATGAGAAGAGAAAACACAGTGTCAGTTAGACATGCTGCAACCTGAAAAGTGTTGCAACTCTTCAGCTAGTTTCCGGGGCTTTGCCATGGCCAAATTTAGCTTCTTGGCTTTGCTAGGGCTTAGCTAACCAAGCAGCTCTCTTATGTCACTGTCACCACTAGATAATGCAAAGAATTAAATTGACATCAGGTAAACACGTCTACTGGAATGTTAGTGAATAAACAGCAGTGGACAGTATAGGCGGAGGAAACAGATGACATGTTCAGATCCCAGCCCAGTCATTTCTCAGTCATGCGACCTTGGAGTTAAACCTGCTTCCTTATCTCTAAGTAAGAACACTACCACCCTTATGTAACTGTTAGGCAGTAGTTCAAATACAGCATTAAAAAAAAATTCCTCCCCTTTGATTCACTGTTGATGTTGCTGTGATGGCTGGGTATTGCACACAAGCCCGGCTGTGGTGCTCACTGAGGTCCGTGCTCCTTTGATTGTGCACATCTGCCAGTTTGTGCCTCTCTGTGGTGTTTACACACACCTGACTGCTGTGTGGCCAGAAATCACTTGCTGTACCAGGGACTGCAGGTGGCAGAGTAGCTGCGAGGCCCAAAGACCGGAGCTGCCTGGATCACACTCACCCATCTGGGACACCAGGGATCTGAATCCAGGACCTTCCGTTTGCAAGGCCTATGTGCTAAGCTGCTGAGCTACTCCTCTGGGGCCTCACAGAAAGCACTTTTAAAAACAGCTCGAAATGCTAAAAGAGGTTCAGTTGTCATCATGCTGGTTTCAAGCTAAACTACACTACTTATAGTTATTTGCATGCTACATTAATCACAAACTGCTGTGAAAGGTGGACAGTGTTGGGTGAGGGAGAGGACCCAAAGGGCTGGAGCACACGCTTCACACGTGGGAGGGCGGGGCTCAACCTCCAGCACTGCATAGTCCTCGGGCAACAGTGGATGAGGCCACTAAAATGAGGAAAAAAAAACAACCCAAAACAAACAAAAAACCAGTAAGAAAAAATTGGGACAGTCTTTCTTTCTTTCCTTCCTTCCTTCCTTCCTTCCTTCCTTCCTTCCTTCCTTCCTCCCTCCCTCCCTCCCTCCCTTTCTTTCTTTCTGACAGGAGGCCTTGGGACATACCCTGCAGTGCTCTAGGGACCACATATGGTGCTGGAGACTGAACTGAGGCCAAACACATGCCAGGCAAACGCCCTACCCGCTGTGCTATCGCTCCAGCCTCTAGTAGTGATAGTTTTTAAGAACAACAATTTAGAAATGGAAATTATTTTCCTTTGTTTTATTCATTGCCCCAAATCTGCATTTTAAATATGTAGAAGCCAGAATGTAAAGAATATAGCTGGCTATATCCCAGAGAGGCAAAAAGGTATAGTCGAAGTGACATCTGCAATTGTTTGTTCATTGCAGCACTCTTTACAATAGCCAGAATCTGGAAAAAACCCGAGTGCCCGAGAACAGATGACTGGTTAAAGAAACTTTGGTACATCTACACAATGGAGTACTATGCAGCTGTTAGAAAAGATGAAGTCATGAAATTTACATACAAGTGGTACTACATGGAAAGTATCATGTTAAGCGAAATGAGTCAGAAAGAGCAGGATAGACACAGAAAGATTGCATTCATCTGGGGAACATAAAGCAACAAAACGGGAGACTAACACCCAAAAATGGCTGAGATTAGTACCAGGAATTTTGCTCCACGACTTGAAGGCCAGCCACATGTGCTAGGTGAAAAGGAAGCTCAGATAGAGAAGAGAGCACCAAATGAAGGGGGTTGTGAGGACCCTCCCAGGGTGGGAGAAGCATGCTAAAAGTAGTCTATAGACCAAACATGATTGCTTTACATTATATCGTTTAAACTTTACAATCCTACAAAGCAGTTATCACAAGCCTCCATTTTATTGTTTAGTCCAAATTAATAGGGATGCTCAGAATAAAAGGTATGAGGATTTAAAGCCCATCTTCTAGGACCAGGGCAATAGTACAGTGGGTTGTGCACTTGCTTTGCACAACCCACCTGGATCCAGCTCACCTGGATTCAATGCCCAGGCCCCCGTGGTCCCCGGAACCCCTCCAGGAATGATCCTGGGTACAAAACCAGGAGTAAGCCCTGAGCACCACTGGGTGTAGCCCCAAAACAAAACAACCCCACCCCCCACAAAAGCCCCGTCTTCAGAGTCTAAGATCCCTTTCTTATGTCATGACTCACTAGATATCCCTATGCCTTATTCTTTCTAATGTTTATCATCTAAAACACTCCTGCACTTAAAAAAATGAACAAAATTAATGTACTTGATGGGATATCAAAGTTCTTCCATATTATGTGTGCTTGATCTTAATGAATCTGTGGGTGAGGTAAGTGGTAGGTAATCCCAGACAAATATAGTGTCAGTAACTGCTGACACTTGAACTAGAACTGTTCTTCTGACTTCAAGTCCAATATTTATCTCAACCATATTATGTATGGGAAACAACAGACCAGAGTGTCTCGGCACTTTCAATCGGTGCTGCATATACACGGTCACATTAGGCAAAAACACCTAGCAACTGGCCTAGCTAGCTACTGTTCCAGGAGGTAGAAAGTAACACCAAGAACATTTGTTTCCAGGGTTGGAGAGAGAGTACAGTACAATGTAGCCAATCCCAGTTTGATCCCAGATACCACATGTAACCCAAAATACTGCCAGGAATGACTTTTAAGCTCAGAGTCAGTTGTGCCCACCCCCAAAACAATGTTTCTAGAATTCTCAGTATCCTGGGCTATCCGTCTTTGGACCTGGCCTTTGCAGTACCCTGACCCTTTGGTAACATCAGCAGGCTGGAGAATACACTTTGCCTGTTCTTGCATCTGTCTCAGCATGTGGAATGTATGAAGACCTAAGAATGAGTAATCTCTGGCACAAAATCTAGGAAATTGCAGGGAGTTCTTGCTTCCTTAACTATGAGAAGTCACCCTTTCACCTGTGTCAATGATGGTGGGCCAGGTTTTCACGTCCACAGCTGCCGCTGCTTCTCGAGACCTCAGTAACCTCATTAGGGTCTGAGTGGTGAGAATGCAGGCTGCTTTGCTGACCTAGAAGACAGACAAACAGAAATAAGCACCACGTGGCTTAGCCCCGTACAGCACCACAGGCTCTGGCTGCCGCTACCGTGGCCCAGTGTGCAGGCGAAGCGGTTCTCTGAAGAACTCAGGTAGGCCAAAAGAGCTAGACCTTTCCGACCTTCCTCGTGGGAATGTACAACACTTCAGAGTGAAGGACTAGTTCACAGCCCAAGCGACTGTTTTGAAGAGTGATCTCAAATATTCAATCTTCCTATTTCATGAAGACCACTCCAAAAGAAGAACAGAATCAGCAATGCTCAGGACTGTGAGGGCCAGATGCTCATCTCCTAGGAGTTAGACAACAGTCCAGTGAACGGTGAAGCTTACCAAACCTAGACTAGAACAAATCCTAAATGCGAGGAAGTGTGGGTCTTGCAGAAACTGGCTTTCCGATCACTTGCATACAGAATTACAAGTGACCAAACTCCTCACTAATTGCGGCCCAGGGAAGAAACCCCCCCCCCCCCTCCAGGATACTCTGGCCTACAAAAAAAAGGGCATTTTGTGGAACTGAACTTTGTAATAAAATTGTCTACTATGAACATGATTTTTATGTGAAACATGATTTTTATGCAGACATAGCATTAATTCTTAGAGAAACAAATGTTACAAATATAAGAATTTTGGAATCCTTCACATATATAGTATATTAGAATGAAGCAATATAGACGCCTTATTTTTTTTTCAGTTCTAATCTATAAAAACTTCAAGTCTAGAATAAAACTTAGGTAACAACATTATCACTCAATGCCTGCAAATGAATTTGTAAAAACTAATGAAAATCAAAATGACCTATTACTGGGGACTTTGGTTGGGCCAGTGAGACAGCATTATGGGGTGAGCACACGCTTAGCATGCAGGAGGCCTGGTTCTACCCCCAGTACAACATGGCCTTTACATTAAGTACATCACGGAATGATTCTAGATGACTGAGTCACAAGTAGTCCTGCAGCATGCCAGGTGTGGTCCCAAAGAAAAACAAACAAAAAATATTATATAGGAATATTATATAGGAGTTAGTTAGAAACTTTGGTTACTGTGTAAAGAAGTTTTATTTATTTCTTTTTTCTTTTTTTTTCCCCTTGGGTCAAACCCCGTACAGCTCAGGGATTACTCCTGGCAGTGTTGGAGGACCATACGGGATGCCAGGGATTGAACCTGGGTTCAGCTGCGTGCAAGGCAAATGCCCTACCTACTGTACTATCACTCCGACCCCTGTCAAGAAATTTTAGAAAACTGCTCCCCCCACCCGTGGTGGTAAGGTTTGGGCCACACCCGGCAGTTATCCCTGGTGATGCTTGGAGGACCATACATGGGGCCAGGGATAGAAGCAGGGTGGGAAAGATGCAAGGTGAATGCCTTAATATCAGCATGATCCCTCCAGCAAACATTAGAAATGTTTTTAACAGGAGGGAGACTTGTAGAAAATTAGTAATGACAATTTCACTGTTCATGATAAATGCACACGATTCTGTGTCTTCCCAATGACCACTTGGGTGACACTAAGGAAAAGGAGGGAGTCTGGGAGGCAGAACTATCTCCCCAACTCAATGAAACTATGAAACTGAAAAATTAGTAAGGATCCTTAGAAATCTGAGCCTGGGCTTTGTTTCACTTATTTGGGGAGGTGGTGTTGATGATCAGGACTTACTGCTGGCTCTGTGCTCAGGAGACCAGATGGTGAGTCAAGAATGAAACTAGGATCAGCAGTGTGCAGGGCAAGTGCCTTTCCCATCGTACTGCTTCTCCAGCCCTGAATCTGGGTGTTTTGGAGATGAAAACTAAGCAAGAAGGACTGGAGAGATAGTACATCACGTCGGGCACTTGCCTTCTATGTGTCCCACCTGGCTCAATCCCCGGCATCCCATCTGGCCCCCCAAACACTGTCAGGAGTGATTCCCGAGTGCAGAGCCAGGAATAACAACCCCTGAGCATCACCAGGTGTGGCCCCCCCACAAGCAAACAAAACGGAGAAAGAAAAAGAAAACAAGGTAAGCATTACTCAGCACTTACATCGACAATCATGCGGACAGTGGGCAACGTGGCTGTGAGGTTCTGAGCATGCGGAGGTCGCACAGTCACGGGGATGCAGCCCGCGTACAGGCAGCCATAGAACGCAGTGATTAACTCGATGCCTGTAAGACAGAAGCACTTAGCTGTTGTCTAGAAACAAGAGGCAGACCCTCTAAAACCGGCTTATTAAATCACGCGTAAGACAGGATGCTTATACCATATTTTAATACCACAATTTATAGGATATTTACACCATATATTATGTACCATAATTTATACCATAGTTTAACAGATACTAGAAATATTTTTTTTTATTACTGAGGAAAAAAAGATGACAATAATGTCAACGTTCTGGGTGTAAAAAGTCAGTGTGCTTACAATCACACCAAAGTGTCAAAAACTCTCCACTCCTATGTCACAAAAGTAATTTCTCGTTTTTACTTTGGTCTTAAACCATACCTGCTCTAAACCAGGGACAACTCTTGTGATTCAGTGCTACTCCTGGCTTCAAGCTAAAGGGACCGTGTGTTTTCAGGGATAGAACCAAGGAATCTCACATGCAAAGTGTGTATGTTGGCCCTTTAAGTCACTTCCCCGGTCAGAGAAAAAAAACATTTTCACAAGGAATAAAGGAAAAAAAATAGTTAAGAAGCATATAAAACAACTTTAAAAAAATATGGGCCAGAGTGATAGTACAGCAGGCAGGGCACTTGCCTTGCAGGCAGCTGACCTGAGTTCAATCCCTGGCATCTCATGTGCTCCCCTAAGCACCACCAGGAGTAACCCCGGAATGCAGAGCCAGGAGTAACTCCCGAGTACTATTCGGAGTGGCCCCAAACAAACAAAAAACAGAGAAGGGTCAGGGATGTGGCTTAACAACAAGAATTTATCTTGCATTTGTCAAGGCCCTAGGTTTGAGTCCCTCTCAGACAGACATGAATGAATAAGAAGGGAATTCAAAAGTCAAACGACTCTTTTTAAAGTTGCTGCTGCACTGGGGAGTGAACTCAAAAAAACCTGATCTACGTGGAGAGATAACTGCAGAAAATTGGGATAAAAATCTGGAAAACAAAAGAAATGGGGAAGGAGCAAGAGTGATAGTACAGTGGGTAAGGCTGACCCTGGTTCTATCTTCAGCACCCCATATGATCCCCCAAGCACTGCCAGGAGTAATTTCTGAGCACAGAGCCAGGAATAACCCCTGAGCAACTCTGAGTGTGGCCCGAAACAAGACAGACAAAAAAGAATGGATGAAAGGAAAGATGAGTAACGCCTGAGTTTTCTTTTTCTTTTTTCTTTTTGGGCCACACCCGGCAATGCAGGGGTTACTCCTGGCTCTGCACTCAGGAATTACTCCTGGCAGTGCTCGGGGGACCGTATGGGATGCTGGGAACCGAACCCAGGTCTGCCACGTGCAAGGCAAACACCCTACCCGCTGTGCTATCTCTCCAGCCCCGAGTCTTCTTTAAACACCAACAAGACCACTATGTGGAAAGTCTTCTTGATACTCTGGATGGTGCACCCTCAGCATGTGTCAGTTTTAAAGAAGTAAAGCTGGGGCTGGAGTGATAGCACAGCGGGTAGGGCGTTTGCCTTGCAAGCGGCCGACCCGGGTTCGATTCCCAACATCCCATAGGGTCCCCTGAGCACTGCCAGGAATAATTCCTGAGTGAAGAGCCAGGAGTGACCCCTGTGCATTGCCGGGTGTGACCCAAAAGACAATAGATAAATAAATAAATACAATAAAGAAGTAAAGCTGGACTGACTATACATCAGGTCTTATGGCAGACAGAGTCTCCTCAGGAGCCCTCCTTTCCCCAGCATCAACTAGTGAATGGAAGATAATCTCACTTCTGTGAGATTGCAGAGGAATTCCTTAACTAGATGAACATCTAAAACATCTTAGCAAAAAAAAAATCACCCAACAAAAAACCCAAAACATCTTAGCACCCACATACTTAAACAGCATCCATCACAGACACACAGAGCAAAATAAAGGAAGTAAGAGGTGGCTAAAGAAATGTTAAATATTTACATCAAGTGATTATCAAATAATTTTGAGTCCATCTTATTAAGAAGGTCACGGAACTAAATTAGACCACAGAGGATGTGAGCAGGAATGACTGTCACGTATTAAATAACAGAGAGCCAAAGGAGATCATGCCCAACTTATTTCTGGGAACTGGGAAAATAGTCCCATTCCTGAGTACTCCCAGGGACAATATGTCTTTTTTGAGGGTTTCCAAAAGTCAGAAAATCTGTATTCATTCAATATTTACCCCAGAGTCAAAAAGTATGCTAGACGGTGGAAACAATAAAAGTAAATTTAGCAACCAGGCTTCGAGCAGAGCCCTGGCACTGTGCAGTTGGTGAGGGTGGGGTAGTGGAGGTGGGGTGGTTTGTACTGCCCCTGTGTATAGTCGCCCAGGGCTGGGGAGCATACAGCAAACAGACTTCCTGTCTTCACTCTGATAACTGAGCGTAAGTCCCATCGACAACCCAATACTTACCAGGTGGATAGAGCAACACCACATTGTCCCCAGCATTCAGATGTCCTTTATCACTGAGCACTGATGCTATCCGCTCTGCTCGCTTGTGAAGGTGAAGGCAGCTGGCTGTGCACACAGTAGTTCCCTTTAGGCAGAAGGAAGTGTGAGCAGGTCAAAGCTCAGTAAAGAAATAAAACAGGGTGAAGCAACATGCTTTGCAAGACAAAGTCCCCAGTTCAATTCCTGGCACCACATGATCCCCTATGCCTTGGGGGGCAGGAAGGAGCCCCCCTGAGCTCCAAGCCAGGAGTGACACCTGAGCACAGCCAAAACAAAGCAAACATACCAAAAAATAAATCAAGGAACAAGTGTAGTCAATAGTCAAAAGGCTTGTGTGATGGCATATCGTATTTTAGCAAGCCACCAATTCCAGTGAAAATTCTCTTAGAACACAAGATGTGTAGTGTTTTCTTTGTCAATAGCCAAAGGTACTTACAAGCATACATATGTTGGTCAGTTTTAAAATCAGATGGGGATTTTTTATTTAAAGAAGGAAACAAGTCAGGCTGCAGAGACAACTCAATGCTTGGAGTGCAGTATACCTTGCATGCTGAAAGCCCAGGTTTGATCCCTGACACCACTTGGTTCTCTGAGGACCAAGCAGCACACCTGAGGACCACTGGGTTTGAAAACAAAACAAATGAAAGAATAAAGGGATAAGAATAGGAGGAAAATGAAGGCAAAGCGGGATCGGGCCTATGGCCTGGGCCTATTCTCACATGGACAGTTTTAGCCCCGCACACTCTAGTAGCCATCTAACAGCAAAGTTGTGGACAAAGTAGGACGAGTAAATCCCAGGCAGTTAGCTAATAAAATGACTGGTGCTGCCCAACTGGTCCAGACCCCGAGAATAGTTTCTCCTGCAGGGCTTCCAAGTATTCTCTCCCGAGTCTCAGTTTCCCCTTGTAAAATCTAACACACATAAAAATACAGCACAAATAAAAAGTCCTTCAAACTAAGTGCGCAGCTTCATGAGAAACTGTAAAGCAAATATCTGTGTCACCAGGTATGACAGGAAATGACTACTGCAAAATCCAGAGCCCCCCCATGTGGTTCTCACCCAACCTTCTCTTCCCATGGCACAGACCCTTTGGTTCTATCACTGCAGAAATTCTTAGAAGGCGTGAGGGGACAGAGGAGGAAGAGGGAGAGAGAGGGAACCAGAGTCTCGTGGAGGCAAAGCTAAGCACTTGTTAGATGCCAGTCAGTACTGGTCCCCGACTGCCTTTAGAAAACACTCAATGGCCTCGCAAGTGGAGGCTGTGAATCTGAACCCTGGTGCAACAAGCATGACCTGCTTCTGCATCTGACAACTTTGCTGTCTGAGTTTCCAAAGGCACAGGTGACTGTCCGCACTACAAAGCCAGTGTGTGTGACCCCACTAAAAGGATGTGTGAGGGGCTGGAGCAATAGCACAGCGGGGAGAGCGTTTGCCTTGCACACGGCTGACCCGGGTTCGATCCCCAGCATCCCATATGGTTCCCCGTGCACCGCCAGAAGTAATTCCTGAGGGCACGAGCCAGGATTAACCCCTGTGCATCACGGGTGTGACAAAAAACAAAAAAACAAAAAAACAAAAAACAAAAGATGTGTGAGTACTGCAGCCAGCGCAGCCCCAGTGAGCAGATGTGTGAGCACAGTTACACTCAGCCTGCCCTACAAGCCAAAGATACACGAGAGGAGTATTGCATATGCAAGGGTGAGGCCCCATTACACCAGCAACAGTAACAACAGTGGGAGGAGAAGGGAACATAGAAATAAAATTTATAATGTCAAAAAAATGTATGATTTTTTCTAGATAAAATGTTCTGGTGAACCATTCGTTAAGAAACAATTGCTGACATATTCAAATAATTTTTAATTTGCTTTTCATCTCTTAGCAAAATTCATTAAACGTGTACTAAAAATAACCCTGGTGAAAATATGTTCATTAAACCCATAAATAAATGCCTGACATTTTCTTCCTGGTAGAAACAAAAAAGGTGAAATTGATAAATCGAAGACAGAACTATGTGACATAACACATTCTATGCATCTATTAAACTATAATAGTACTGTCAAGCTCATGGGTCATTCAGAACAGAACACAGATAACTTGAATTTAACACAAAAAGAGATGGTATTAAATACAACTCCAGGAGTTCTCCTTTCAACCCTAAGATGACAGCACATTTTTCTCTTGAAAATCAAAAGAAAGCAATAGCTCTTCAGAGTTGGCAAAAGAAATTTCCCGATGAAATAAAACGATTAAGAATGCCTACAATATTCCTACAGTATTTAGCTGATCTAGCGTTACAACCGAAAATTCAATACCTTGGCATTTAACAGCATGAAAAGTACATGTTCAGGAGTTGCCTGGGCTCGCCACTGTAAAATTTCTGCCAGAAACTGATGCTAAAATCATAAAGCAGAAAGAAAAAAGAATCAAGGTCAGTAGCATCCGAAAGTTATGGATAATGCAGTTCCCATTCGCCATCTGAAGTCTCAGTTCTGTCCTTCAGGTCTCTAAAAATCAACCCTCAGGAACACTTACCTTCCTCACTAAATCATTCTCTTCAATTTGCCCAAGATCCCTTCCAGCAGCTTGGGCTATGCGTTTTCCAGCAACCAGATTCCCAACCAGTACAGAAGCAGGGCCTACACCTGTAAGGAAAGGCAAAGATGATCTTCTGGGAAATGGCACTTGAAGCTAGGCAGCCACAAAAGCATTCGAGACAGGCCAAAACAGGTTCAAACGTGCTTTCAACACAGAACACTCTTCGAGGCACCAGGAACACGGCAGTAGACAAGATAAACAACTTATATTCCAATGGGAAAGACAACCGGTCAGTGCCCACACATATCATGTCAGGTAGCAGGAAATGTATTAATAAAAAATAAGTAAAAAACAATAACCAAACAAAATAGATCACAGGAGAGGGAGAGGGGTTTCAAGGAAAAAGGTGAGGGAACAGATGGATTCCTGTAGCTTGAGTAGAGAGCAATTTTCACTAGGAGAAAGTGACAGTTGGTTGCATTGGTTCCTACTGATAAAGAATTTGATCTATTGCAATGATAAAACCATCCTAAAATGAACTTCGCAGTAAAGAGTATTTGGTCTTAACAGAAATATGCTCTCTACAGGGACAGAATAAGTCTATCAAGAATATCATAAGAGCTTCGATTAAAGTGAAAAATCACAGCTAGATTGTGGAGCAGTCTATTAAAGTATCTGGAATCCTCACAAATGATGGTGGTTTTAAAACAAAATAGGGCTGACATCTCTTATATAAACATGACAAACACAATGCATGATCCTGATTGCATGACCTTGATTTTATTAGAAATATAATCAGGTATATTGGGGAATGAGCACTGTGGTGGAGGGATGGGTATTTGATCATTGTGTGATTGTAACCCAAACATGAAAGCTTGTAACTATCTCACGGTGATTCAATAAAATTAATTAAAAAAATATGTATATAATCAGGTATAATAAACAAGTGGAAAAATCTCAATATATAGACTATTTTAGTTTACACCATTATATTAGATTACATTTCTTACTAGGATAATGGCATTATAGTGATTAGAAAGAGTTCAAGAGTCTGTTCTGTTTTTTGGCTATCTGTTGATGTAACATATACATCACGTTATGATGTCTGCCATTTCTGTACACAGGGCAGTTTAAATGTAAACATATAATAAATCTAGGGAAGGCAGAGTTGTGTTCACTATGCTATTCTTATAACTCTCTGGTAGGGTTATTTATCACTTGACAATCAAAAGGGGAACTTGCTGCTCTCATGGAAAAAAAAATGTTTGGGTGCCTTTCTTAGTGGTCAGTGACAGATTAAGACTCAACTGTGTCTGTTCAAGATAGTGAAAAGGAAGCAAAACTTATTTCCAGCTGAGTTTTGAATAATGCTACAGTTGGATTAGTGTTAAATTTCTTTTACTGCCCCAAATCTGTTGATCCTGAGTGCATTAAGAAAGACGGTAAAATATAATTTAAATCACATTTTCAAGTATTTGAGGAAGATGGAAAAATGACATATAGGAATTCTTACATGATTTGGCAACTGTTAAAAACTCTTTGAAAGGGGCTGGAGAGATAGCACAGCGGGTAGGGCGTTTGCCTTGCATGCAGCCGACCCGGGTTCAATTCCCAGCATCCCATATGGTCCCCTGAGCACTGCAAGGGTAATTCCTGAGTGCAGAGCCAGGAGGAACCCCTGTGCATCGCCGGGTGTGACCCAAAAAAAAATAAAACTCTTTGAAAATAAAAAGTTGGAAAATGAAAAATCAGGGCCAGGTGATGGCACAAAAGGTTGGTGTGGAAGGCCTGGGTTCCAGTTCTGTCCTGGGAACCCCATAGTCCCTGACTGCCACAGACAGCAATCCCTGAGCACTGAGTTGGGAGTAGCAAAAAAGGGTACAGTCCTCTAACAGTGATTGCTGAACATTTTCAGTCTAGAAAGTATTGGCTGCAGTATTAAGGAATTGCAAAATTCCATCCTAAGAAACTACATATGTAGACATATCAAGTTAGAAATAACCGTTTTTATAGGTTGGGACACAATCCTCGATTCACAGTAAAATCAATAAAGGCATTATGTTTTATTTATTTATTTATTTTTGCTTTTGGGTCATGCCCGGCGATGCACAGGGGTTCCTCCTGGCTCTGCACTCAGGAATTACCCCTGTCGGTGCTCAGGGGACCATATGGGATGCTGGGAATCGAACCCGGGTTGGCCGCGTGCAAGGCAAATGCCCTACCTGCTGTGCTATTGCTCCAGCCCCAAGGCATTATGTTTTAAAGAAAAAAATTTTCAGGTACTTTAAAACAACAGAAATAATTCAGTGGGGGTGGAGTGACAGTACAGTGGGTAGGGCTCTTGCTTTGCATGAGACGGACCTAGGTTTGTTCCCCAGCATCCATATGGTCCCCTGAGTACTTACTGCCAGAAGTAATTCCTTAGTGCAGAGCCAGGAATAACCCATAAATATCACCAGGTGTACCTCCCACCAAAAAAATTTGGCAACAATTTTCTGCATTCTATATGCATTTATTGAGACCATGTCACAGTGAAAAATAACAAAGTCATGATACCTAGGAAGATCATTACTGACATTTGCTGTTTCTGTATATAGGCTTCTTTAATTCCTCCACAAAACTCTGTAAATTTCCGAGGCAGACTGCTAGTTTTCAATTTCTTATTTATTCTCATTTTCCTAAATAACAGAACTGCTATTGGTTGGGCAAATATCTGAAGTAAAGACAATATTCCTTACTATGATAGAATAATATATAAAAGTAATATGTGGAATTCTAGAATTAAAAAAAATGGGGGGGGCGACACCCATCAATACTCAGGGTGTACTCCTGGCTCTGTACTCAGGGATTTCTTTTAATAAAGATTTTTGGGCGACATCAGGTGATGCTTAGGGGTTATTCCTGGCTCTGTGCTCAGGAATTATTCCTGGCGAGCTTGGTGGACCACATGGAACGCACAGGATTGAACCCAGGTCAGCTGTGTGCAAAGCAAGTGCCTTCCCTGCTGTACTGTCTCTCCAGCCTCAGAATGCTTTAATTCTTACAATCTTTCTTTTTCTCCGTGTCCATGCTGTGATTTTAGGGGAGAAGTATTCTCTCCTCCACTGACGCTGACCTTGACATAGTCTGACTTGTTTTGGACAATGAAATGTAGGAGATGCGGCTCAAACAGAAGCTCTAAATATACCGTGGTTTGGCTTGTTTCCTTGCTTCTGCCATCTGCCTTGAGGAGAAAATGGCTCAGGTAGCGACCAGTTCCATGATGAAGAGACACAAGGGACAGTTCTGAACCCACGCTCCAGCCTGGAGCCCGGCCAATCCTAGCCAATCCTGGCCAGGCTCAGCAAATTCATATCCCATGAGTAACACATAAATGTCCTTTTTCTTTTCCTTTCTTCTCTTCTTGGTTTTTGGGTCACACTAGACTGTGCTCAAGGTTTACTCCTGGTGGTGCTTGAGCCCAGGACAGTCGTGTACAAGGCAAAGCACTAACGGTACTATTTCCTAGCCTTCAAATGCTTCTTACTGTAGCTTGTTGACACTGGTGCTACATTGTGTTACTTAAAATATATTTAAGTGTGTCATTAGTGATACACGACCACTCAATAAGTTAAGCCACTAATTTCATGGTTATATGCTATGCAGCATATCCCTGACAGTAGTTGATTGATAAATGCCAGAACAAAAAGAGAATGACTGAGGAGCTTTCATTCACCCTTGGATTGTCTAGTTCTGCATGTTTTTCTACCTGGTAAACGTGTGGGGCTGGGGAGATAGAACGAGGGTTAAAGTACATGCCTTGCATGAGGGTGACCCCAGTTCAAACCCTGGCATCGTATCACTCTCTGAGCACTCCTGAGTACCATCAGGGCAGGCCGTGTCATCTCTAGCCCTGCAGGATCTGAGCAAGCACCACATCTTCAATCAGTCTGACCTTCTGTCCTGGTTTGTGGGAGGGCCCCGAGGCCTCCAAAGTACCACTTGGGAAACATCCCACCCCCGAGAAAAGAATTAAATAAACTTGCATCTCATTCTTTGTTATTTTGGGACATATCTAGTGGCTGTCAGGGAATAATCCTGGGCTAGGACAGGGGACCATAAAAGCATCTGGAGGCTGGAGCATTCAGACAGAGCTGGGGATTAAACTTGGGCCTCCAACTGTAAGGCATGCACTCAGGCCTTATAGCTATCTCTCTAGCACTAAGTTGTATTTTGTTTAAGCAATTGATATTTTTCTAAATCCTGTATCCTGACATATTTCTGTTTGTTATAATAATTCATGACAGCTCTAATAGGCATCTCACTGGGCTTTTCGTAATTAGGACACTAACATTTTTCATCTCCCTTTTCCTCTATTTTCCAACCTCTTTACTCTTCCATCCCTTCTTCTGCTGAATAGGGGCCATACAAGGGGATGGAGCACATGCAGTGCTGGGAAATGAACTCGAAGCCTCACACATGCAAGGCATGGCCACACCCACGCCTCTCCTGTATTCTTCTTCTATTTTTTTTTTTTTTTTTTTGCTTTTTGGGTCACACCCAGCTGATGCTCAGGGGTTACTCCTGGCTCTGCACTCAGGAATCACTCCTAGTGGTGCTTGGGGGACCATATGGGATGCTGGGATTCGAAACCGGGTCAGCTGCGTGCAAGGCAAGTGCTATTGTTCCAGCCCCCTGTATTCTTCTTAAATGCTAACCTCTTAGTTATTCCCACATCATTGCCTTTTCACTAATCATTAGCAAGCAATAAAAATGGAAAGCAGGAACTGGAGCAACAGTACAGCGGGTACAGTGTTTGCCTTGCACACGGCCAACCTGGGTTTGATCCCCGGCATCCCATATGGTTGGTTCACCAAGCAGCACCAGGAGTAATTCCTGAGTGCAAAGCCAGGAGTAACCCCTGAGAACCACTGGGAGTGACCCAAAAAGCAAAAGAAAAAAAAGAAAAAAGCAAAAATAATCCAGAAATCCAGATATGAGGTTTTCCTCAGACAGGTGGATATGCCTGAAAAGGTTTAGAAATGATTCTTTTACATAGGATCTTATCATTTAAAAAAAAAAAAAGTCATTGCAATCTGGCTGGAAAAATCATTTTCAGCATCTACTAGATCTCTTAAATAGCATTTTTTGTTTGGGGACCCCACTCAGAGATGCTTAGGGGTTACTCCTGGCTCTGTGTTCAGGGATGACTTCTGGTAGGGCTCAGGGGACTACATAAGATGCTGGGGATTGAACCCAGGTCGGCAGCATGCAAGGCAAACACCCTACTGCTCTAGCCCCCGAAGCTCCAATTTTCATGTTGTTTATCTTCAAAGTCAGCATATTTACCTGGTTGCTTTTGTCTGGGTTTTGGCAGATTGGTCACACATGTATGTGGGCACATGAGGATGTTGCAAGGATGTAGAGATCCCTCTAGAAAGAGCTGTTTGGTCTGAGATATATGAATCCCTCCTAGTGGAGTTTTTGGCAATGTATTGGCAGGCACCAAAGCAAGACAGTAAACTCCCACCTGATGAATGCTATCGATTGCCTAGAAAGAACACAGAAAAAAATATCAGTGAGATTAGTTTGCTTACATTTGACATAATCCATGACTGAACTCTATGAATTTCCTTTCTCACTAAATTTCTCTCCCCCTTCACCGAATCTATATATAACCTGGAAGATAATGAAAATGCCAAATATCTAAAGGTAATCTGATTCTTCCAGTGATGTCACAAATTAGTAGAGGAGGGATAAGATTATACTGAAATGGTGCTGGCCAGGGAACCATACGTGGTACAGGGGATCAAACTGGTCAGCTGTGCAAGGCAATGAACCTTACCCATTGTATAATCTCCCTGGCCCTATAAGAACTTGGTTTACAAGATTAGTACACATTTAATTCCTATATACTTAAGTTTAATTTTTTTTTTGGGGGGGGGGAGTGCCACGCTGATCATACTCAGGGTTTTCACCTGAATCTGTGTTCAGGGATCACTCCTGGCAGGCCTCAGGAGACCATATGCAATGCCGGGGCTTGATCTGGAATCGACTGCACTCGAGGTAAGTGCTTCAAGCCATGGATTATCTCTCTGGCCAACGAAACACTTCTGAAAACATACTCTGCCATGGCAGACAGTCTCTACTTCCTCGGGATCATCCATTTGTCCGACAGACATGTACTGAGTCTTCGTGCTAGCACAAGCTATCAGATTTGGGGGGCTGAGCAGGAAAAAAGAGAGAGAAAAGCCTGGCCTTCATGGGGCTTATAGGGAACAAATGATGAATATATACAAGAAAAAATGTGATAAGAATATAACGTATTTATAATATATAAACGTGATGTTTGTGTGTAATATGTAAAGGCCAGGCATAAAGTTCCAGGGTGAAGGCATCTGCTTTGTACAGCCAACTGACACTCATCTCCAGCACCAGATAGGGACCACTGAGCACTGCTGGGTGTGGCTCGTGAAAAAAAAAATCCAAAAACTGTAACTATAAAAAAAATCCAAAAACATTAGCTATATATAATATGCTCATATTTTTTGGTGGTGGGAGTTGAGGGGGTTAATTTGGGTCTCAGCTGGTGGTGCTTGGGGCTTATTCCTGATTCCTGTGCTCAGGAATCACTTCCGGAGGTGTTCAGGGGACTGTATGTGGTGCTGGGAATTGAACCAGGGTCAGTCACAGGCAGGGCAGGAACCTTATCCGATTTACTATCTTCCTGGCCTGATTTAAATGTGTAAGTGTATTTCTATGGGGATAAATACTGAGGGAAAAAATAAAGCAAAGTGACAAGGCAGGGAACGTTGCTTAAAGAAAGAAAGAGCCTCTCTGGGGTGGAGAGAGAATATCGGGGTTAAAGTGCTTGCCAAACTCATAGCCACCCCAGAATCAGTTCCAGCACTGCTGGCAAGATTAAGTAATTTACCTAGAGGCACATAAATTGCAAGGAGTGGAACTGGAACTCCGAGTCAAGGATTCTCTCTCTTCTCTTTGGAGAAGGGGGTGGGAAGGCTTCTGGGGAGCAGATCCGGGGACTTGGATATGTGAAACATGCTTTTAACCACCAAGAGCCAGTCCAAGAATCTAGATCCAGGGTTCTTAATGAAGACTAGGCACATCAGTAGTCTTTTTATGGGGGTGGGGGGTACCCCCAGCTGTGCTCAGGGCTTACTTGCAGCTCTGCACTCAGGGATCACTCCTGGTGGGCTTGAGGAACCGAATGGGGTGCTGGGGTTTGAACCCTACTTGGCTGCATACAAGGCAAACTTCCTATCTGCTCTCCTACAGCTCCAGCCGGGGATCTTCATCATTCTATCCTCTAAAAACAGAGCACTTACACAGAGCCCAAGTCTTTCTCCTTTCTCATGGTTCACCTTACCTGCATCTCTAACTCCCTACAGGAACACTTGATCGGAATAAGAACATCTGAATGTTTTCTGGAAATCTCTTATTTTAGGCACCATTAACATATATAATAAGATTAGAGATGTGACAAGTACAATGATTACTGTAAATGATGTGTTTGACAGAGAATTTTTATACACAGTAAACACTCTGATATAAAAAGAGTGAAAATTTCTTGAGGCAAATTAATTCTGCTGTTCTTCGCATCTTGGACAGAAAAAAATAACCATATGGCCCACGGGATGAAACGGTATTAATTATCTGTTTTTTAATGGTTTTGCTAACATCGTCTGAGTAGTAACTGAGAAAAAAGTATGTTAGCATAATTAGTCCATTTAAAGCAAAACAAAACCATAGTTCTTAAGTGATGGATGGATGCTGTCAACGCTGTGAACAAAGCTAGCTGAGGGCCCTCACCTGCAGCACGCGGCTCATCCACTGGAAACTATCTTCTTCGGAGGCATCAGGTCTTTGTTCGGCAACCACCACAATGCGCTCATCATAAAACACAGACACAGAAAACACAGCAATTCTAAGAGAGACAGATCAAACACATCAGGACCCCCTTCATAGCTGGGGCTATTTGCTATGCTCCCCTGGAATTACAGACACCCCCACACTACGCAGAAATGAGCAATTAGGAAAGAAAACACCAGTCATTGCCACTCAAATGAAGACTCAAAAACATGTGTTAGGACTTCTGCTGGGAATGTGGAGGACACAGTCATAAGTAACACAAAGTCCCTAGGTCTGCGGAGCCCGCGTATCAGAGAGACAGAATGAATGAACAGGAAAGCAAGTCACGTTGTCTTGTGAGCTGGGAGAAACTCAGAGGGGCAGGGGATAAAGGGAAGGGGTGCGAGGGGTGAAGTATCTATCTAAGGGCGGCCCTGCACAGGAGACCTGAGTGCAGTGAGGACAATGGCCATGCAGAGATCTGCGAGGAGAGGTTTCTGGGCAGGAGCGGAAAGAGAAAACGGTTCTGAAGTAGCGAAAAGGAACGAGCTTGGCAGGTTTGAGGGACAGCAAGAGGCCAGTGTGCCTGGAGCACAGTGCAGAAGCAGGAGTTGTGGGAGAGGTCAGACCCAGGCCAGGGCAGCCACTGAGGATGTTGCAGGCTGGACCTGGTCTGCGTGAGGCCTCCGCTTAATCACCACCTCTGATGAGGCATTCCCAGACCACCCTCTGTGTTGGTTCGCAAGGCTCTTCACACATGGAGGGAGTTCCCTCACTGTATGGGCACTGTCTGCTTCTCCCGGGAAGCGTGTGAACTTCAAGGTGGCAGACACTTGGTTTTTCTGGCTGACTGCCACACCAGGATCATCTACAGAATGGTGGCAATCAGTTGGCACCCAATAAATATTTGTTCAATGAATGCATGCAAGAGCAGAAAGTCACTAAAGAGCCAAACATGGTTACTCTCCGGGTATCTCTCCTCCCACCTCCCCTCCCTCTTCCTGCCTCCCACAGACCTTCAGAGAGCACCTACCAGGGACCAGTCCCTGTGGATATGCTATGGCCAGACAAATCTAGCATGGGGAGCTGACATCTCTCCGAAAACTCCGCCAACTACAAAATGCTATGTCTTCCAGGAAATGCTATTTCTCTACTGGTTTATTTAACTTTTCTTCTTAAAACTAAAGGGACACCAAGATGGCTTTAAAGATGTACATAACCTACCAAGTAGGACACTGACTCCTCAAGTAAGTTACAAATACCTTTCCTTGCATTGCAGAGAAAAGAAAGCAAGTATGAGAATCACCTCATCCATGGTTTGTGTCCTATAGTGCGGTGATACTGTGGTAACGTAGAGAAGTGGAAGGGGACTAGTTCCTGGATGCAAACTCTACTGAGCAGCATCTATCTCAATTAATCTGAACGGGACTACTTCTCTATGAAAGGAATTAAGTTCAAATTTCAGAATTTATTTTTAAGTTCTCAGGATTTAATAGTTAATTTAGGTTTTTTTTTTTGCTTTTTGGGTCACATCTGGTGATGCACAGGGGTGACTCCTGGCTCTGCACTCAGGAGTCACTCCTGGTGGTGCTCAGGGGACCATATGGGGTGCTGGGAATCGAACCTGGGTTGGCCGTGTGCAAGGCAAATGCCCTACCTGCTGTGCTATCTCTCCAGCCCCAGGATTTAATAGTTAATTTAAAACTGCTACAGAAAATGGCAATATCTTACATCTTTCAACTCCAGCAGAAGAACAGAAATTTTATTTTTTGTTTGTTTGGGGGAATACCTGGCTGTGCTCAAGGATCACTACTGTTTGCCCTGCCACAAAGGCAGGGTGGGATTGGGGGGGATGGGGGGGTGGGAGGGATACTGGGATCTGGGGGGGTGGGAGGGATACTGGGATCCGTGGTGGTGGGAAACGGGCACTGGTGGAGGGATGGGTATTTGATCACTGTATAATTGAAACCCAAGCACAAAAATTTGTAAGTCTACAACTGTACCTCATGGTGTCTCACTAATAAAAGGTAAGGTAAAGGTAAAGGCCCTCCCGTTGATCGTCGATTTGCTCGAGTGGGCCCAGTAACGTCTCCATTGGAGACTTTGTTGTTACTGTGTCTGGCATATCAAATACTCTCGGTAGCTTGCCGGGCTCTCCGAGAGGGGCGGAGGAATCGAACTCGGGTCGGCCATGTTGGCCACTTGTAAGGCGAACACCCTACCCGCTGTGCTATCGCTCCAGCCCTAATTAATTAACATTAATAAAAATTAAAAAAAAAAAGGATCACTACTGGCGGGCCGTTGGGGATAGAATCTGGGTCGGCAACATGCAAGACAAACACCCTCCTCACAGTACTATCGCTTTGGCCTCTAGAACCAGCTATTTTAAAAATAAATATTCAAAGCTCTATTTCTGCTCTGCTTAACCAAAATAACGTGGCCAGTTGGAAAGAGACTCTATAGACATGACTCAAAGCAGCTTATAAAAGTATATTTAGGTTCCAGTGGGAGTGATAACTTGCATTTTGTACTACTCACCTTCCTCTATAAACAGTCTTTATCGATTCAACAGCCAATCCAGTAGCAACAATGTCATCAGCATTATGTCTTCTGCCACTAACCATCAGTAATCCATCCATTTTTCCAACCACAAATACCAAGCTTCCCTGAAAGGTAAAAGTGATTTGCCTTGATTTCCATGACCTAAATAGCAAAAAAGACCATACCCTATTTTATGGATCCTAAAAATGTATTTCACACTTGGACATGTATCAATGAACTCTCACAATTGATGGTCTTACAACATGAAAGACATGTGTGAGTATGTGTTTGATTTGCTTTTAAATCACACGCACAGCTGCTCAGAGGCTACTCCTGACTCCGCCTGGGGGTATACCCTGTGCCAGGGATTGAACCTGGACCATTTGTATGTGTTCCTTTGAGCTATCTCTCTGGTCCTATACCTACTGTTTCATTGTTGCTTTGGATTCTGGGGCCTCAACCAGTGGGTACTCCGAGTCCTATATTGTGGTGCTGGGATTAAACTGGGGTTGGTGAAATGCAAGGCAAGAACCTTGCTTATGGACAATCTCTCTGGCCCTGCTGCCTGGAAGGCCTTCCAGCAGTGCTGGAGACACCAGGAAGACACTCAGTGGTGAGAATAAGGCTATGTGGTGTATGTGGTGTGTCTGGGGCCAAACCTGGGGTTCTGAGCATGCCAGGCTTATGCTCCAGTGCTTTCAGCTGTCTCAGCAACATCTCATATTTATTCTGTTTTTTTAATTCTTTTTTTCAGTGCCAGGGATTGAACCCAGATCTCACACATGCAAGATACCACTGAGCCACATACCTGCTACCAATCTTCATATTCTGAAGGAGGAATTTTAAAGAAAGCTGCTAGAATTCTACACAGTTAGCTTCTTTCTCCAATAATGATTATGTATTAGCTGTTCTTCTGTATCTATTCATTGAATGGATGCAGTGGAGAAAAACAGTAGTTCACTGAATAATGAAGTCAGGAAGAGATTAAATTCGTTTGTTTTAGGGCCAGACCTGGCTCTTGGCTCTGCGCTCAGGGAACACTCCTGCCAGTGCCTCAGATTCATATGCACTGCTGGGGATTGATCAAGTTTGTAGCAGGTACGGCAAGCATCTCATCCTCTGTATTTTAAGATGTTAAGTAAGGAAGAAAGGTGGCGAGTAAGGGGCCATCAGTGAAGAGTGGAGGCATATGGCCTTAACTATGTTAACGACGGCCTACCTGGAAAATAAAATCCAAACTTTCCATTGTGCCACACGAAGCCCTCCAAGGTCTGGCTTACTGCCTGCATCACTGGCTCATCAAGCTAACTGAGTGAGTGGTCGGAGAACAGGCCCTCTGTCCTAATTCTGTAAAGCCAGTGCCTACAATTACATTTTTTTTTTAAAGTTTCTATTTAGATAATTTACTATCACACATGGTATAATGTTGGTGATGTGTATGAAAATGTAGTGCATACTATTTACTGTCACTTTCCTTGGCAATTGAAGGTAACTATTTTCTGTTCTTTTGTTCGTTTTTGGGCAGTACTCAGGGCTTCCTTCTGGTTCTGTGCTCAAGGAGTTGCTCCTGGAGGGGCTCACGGGACCATATGGGTCCCGGAGAGCCAACCCAGGTTGGCTGCATACAAGGCAAGCACCCTACCTCTGTATGACTACTCTGGCCTCCTCCTGTCTTCTTCTAACTTACTGAAACATATTCATCAAAGACAGATGGCAAGGTAAAGTTTTTCAGTGGAGAAGACAGCTCAGATGGACAGGACGCATGAGTCCTGAGCCAAACCCCTGGCACCACACGCCCCACTCCCTGCACTGCTGGGTACAGCCTGGGTGACCCTACTGGGCCTGAGCAGCAAGGCTCAAGCAACCAAACTGTCAGGCCTGCACTGGTGTGCTGAATACTGAATGGGAGGGGGCTGAGGGCCTTGAGCCCCCAAACTGCTGGGAGGTCCCACTCAAAAAACAAACAAACAAACAAAAATTCATTAAAAAAAAATATATATATATATATATTTAAAATAAAAAAGTATGTCTTAGTTTTTGAATGGGTTATGGAATGAATAAACATTAAGTCATTTTTTATGACATTTTATTGGAACTGCTTGAAATATAAGTGAAATGTCCTCTAGTCCTCCTGGAGAAATCAGAACTTCAAATATTTGAATGAGCTGTATCAAAACAAATATTAAGACTCACTTACCGGTCCAACAAATCCAAGCAAACCTGAACGAATGAATGGCACATCCCCAACAGGAGAGCCTGCAGAATTCACTGGAATCACCTGAAGGAGGGGGAAAGGAGCAAAAAATCTTAGCTCTTCCTTTCAAGAAAGAATACTGGGGCGTGGAGAGATAGTACAGGGGGTTAAGATGCTGTCCTTGGGGCTGGAGAGATAGCACAGCGGGTAAGGCATTTGCCTTGCATGCAGATGACCCAGGTTTGATTCCCAGCATCCCATATGGTCCCCTGAGCACTGCCAGGAGTGATTCCTGAGTGCAGAACCAGGAGTAACCCCTGTGCACTGCCGGGTGTGATCCAGAAAGAAAATAAATAAATAAATAAATAAAAAGATGCTGTCCTTTATGTGATTGATTCTGGTTTCTGGTTTGATTCCAAGCACCTCACAGTCCCTATACTCTGCTGGTACCCCCTAGCACTACGGGATATGTGTGTCCCAAAAGCGCCCTAACCCCAAAAACAATCAAAAAAACAATGTTTCGCAGACCAAGAGACAGTACAAGGGTTAAGGCATTTGCCTTGCATATGGTCAACCCCAATCGAATCCCCTGCACTACATGGTCCCCCGAGCACTGTCTCCTGCGCACAGGAGTAACCTCCTGAAGAACAGAGCTGGGAAAAGTTCCCAAGAACCACCCATATTGTTATTAATATCAACAATAATAATAATAAAAAAAATTAAAAAGTTATAACATACCCCCCTAAGAGATAACCCTTATAGAGGCCAGATCGATAGTTCAGCAGGTAGGACATTTGTCTTATGTGTGGCCTACCTGGTTTTGATCCCTGACATCCCATATGGTCTTTCAAGCACCACCAGGAGTATTTTCTGAGGGCAGAGCCAGCAGTAACCGCTGATCATAGCTGGTGTGGCCCAACTCCGCCTCCCCCAAAGAAGATAACCTTTACAAGGGCCAGGGAGACAGCACCTATCAGGGGTGCATGGTTTTTTTGGGTCACACCAAGTGATGCTCAGGGATTACTCCTGGTGCACCTTGGGGGATCACATGGGATACCTGGTCGGCTACCTGCAAGGCAAGCAACTTACCCACTGTACTAGTGCTCAGGTCCCCGGGGGTATGTTTTGATGCATACAAATCTGGCTTGATCCCTAGCATTGCTGCAAATAACCTTGGAAGCCCCCAGCACTGAGGAGTGTGCCCCCCCGCCCCGCCCCAGGTCCCTGAGCAGCACCACATCCTTGGCCCTAGCACTGAGCCTCAACTATCACTGGAAGTGGTGCCCAGGCTCCCTGAGTACATGTGGAGCCAGCCCTCCCCAGCCCCAGGACAAAAAGTGTCATTCTAGTTTCCTTTGTACCGTAACTCCATAATATACCTCTATAAAAGCTTCATAGAGGAAGTCTATGAATCAGACATAAGTTCAATTTCTTGCCTTGCTACTTATACTAGAAATGTGGGCTCCTAAACTTTCCTAAAGCTTGATTTCTTTCTGTTGAAAAATTTTTTTTTTTACATTTTGAGACAACACCTAGAGGTGCTGAGGGCTCATTCCTAGGACCAGTCCTGGCGGGGCTGAAAGCTGTATGTGGTGCCAGGTCGGCTATGCAAAAGCTGTTTTCTTTGGTCATCAAATGAGATTCCCAGTGCCTCGCTTAGCTGTAGAATAAAGGCATGCAAATTAAAGACATGCAAATGTAGAGAGCATGGGGGACTGCCATAGAGGCAGGGGAGGGTTGGGATTATGGGGGGACAATGGGGGCATTGTGGTGGAAAATGTGCACTGGTAGAGGGATGGATAATCACTGTATGACCAAAACTCAAACATGAAAGCTTTGTAACTGTATCCCACGGTGATTCAATTGAAAAAAAAAAAAAAAGGAATAAAAGAAAAAGAAAAAAAAGAAAAATTTTGCTAAAAAAAAGATTAAAGGCATGTAAACAAATTAGCTGACATAAGCACAGCACTTGACCTAGTTACTCGGAATATGCTCAGAATTAGATCTATTACAATGTTTTACAACTTTCATAACTGGGAACCTAGAAATTTGGTATTAAGTTTAAGAAGTCTGGGAGCTCGAGCAATAGTACAGCGGGTAGGGCATTTGCCTTGCATGCAGTCAACGCGGGTTTGATTTCCCAGCATCCAATGGTCCCCCAGCACAGCCAGGAGTAATTCCTGAGTGAAAAGCCAGGAGTGACCCCGTGCATTGCAGGTGTGACCCAAAAAGCCAAAAAAAAAAAAAAAGAGAAAAAGAAACCTGGATAGGCAGTTGACAACATGGGAAAGGCAATATAATTACAGATAGTCATCTCTTCAAAAACTGCTTGTGGATTTTGTTTTCAGTAAGGATTATGCAATAAAGAAAAACCCAGGTACGTGAAACATATAGTTCAAACCCCTGAAAATGAGAGAAACAGACGTCCACTTTCCACAGCTGTTGCTATGTAAGCTCATTCATCGGTCCAGCTTTACAGATTCACAATTAAATATCAAAAGAGATGCAAGGCAAGCATCAAACATTCAGGGTACACTCGTCTCCTGACTGAAAACTCTGGGGTGCCCAGGGAGGGAGGGGCAGGTGAGTCCGAACTCTGGGATCTTCTTCGAGTGGGAGTGGGCTGCTACCCCCACTCCCCATACTTTCAGAAGCCCCAGCGGCCACAACCACATTCCATAACTACCACTATGTAAGCTCCAGTCCAGTTACAGATCCTGAAGTATGCATGGCAACTCCAAATTCCATAATACTGACATCCCGGTAGGAGCACACCAACTTAATTGGGAAAGGAGCACAGACGCCAACGAAGCTCAATAAAAGTAACACAGAAGGCTCAACTAGCAACAAACGAATTAGCAAATTCTCAGGCAAGGACTCACCCCACGGCGAGACACAACAATTTTCATAAATTTTCTTTTACTGGAGTATTTTTTGATAATTCCATTAGCCGTTTTGTAACGAGAAATATGAAACAAATTATTCTGTTCCTGCTAAGGGGGCAGGCTTGGGCAGTTGCTGGGAAAATGGGGACAACGGTGAAGGGAAGGTCACACTGGAAGTGGGATTGGTGTTGGAATACTGAATGCCTGTAACAACTACATCATGAATAACTTGATAAACCACAGTCTTTTAAAAAAGGGGGAAAAAACCACTGAAAAAACTGAAAAAACTTAAGAAAAACAGTAAAATTTAAATTAGTAAAATGTATACACCCTCAGCAGAGGTAATAGCCTGGGAAAGTAAGCCAAGGGACAGTCAGGAAACACATGTGAAGAAGTACCCGTCACGGAGGTCTGGCCCCCGCTGTTTTCCTGCTGGGGATCACAAACTGGGAGCCCCACAACCAGGAAGCGCATGCGCTACCATGCAGCTATAACCCTCATCCCAACATAGGAAGCCAAGAATTCAACAGTCATAATGGTGCCGATGATGGTAACAAGAGACGGAAATTTAAACATTCATATTATTTCATTTTAGGCTACGTAAATGCAGGAGATGGTCAGTCCAAAGATGCTTTTCTCTTTTTTTCTCTCTTGTACTCCCCCATTCAATTATGGGCTGCTATAATCTGACAGGCAGAAAGTGAGAAGATACTTTTTTTCTTGCATCTGTAGTGGAAACTTTGGCAGCAGATAACTACTGTTGCAGGTCTGTCAAACAGATGCATTCTTTTTCCCTTTTTTTGTAGTGCCAGTTATTGAACCCAGAATCTTACACTGTTCATACAGGTAATGCTTTCTCTGGGAATTACATCTATTATTACATAATTAAATGCAGGATTTTGACTGTCCAATGGAATGGGAGCTAGCATGTCCTCTCATACTGAGAACCACTAGTCTAGATCCTTACTTCTTTTAAAAAAATTTTTTGTTACATTTATTACAATTAACATTTTATACTTTTTTTTTTAAATGAAGAAAGTTTTTATTGAAACTTGTCTAGAAAGATGTATGTGAGGGCCCAGGGAGGGAGTAGTAAATGTTTGAGAGAACACAGGCTTCTCCAGAGTGGAAATAATAATAAAAAAAAAAATAGAGAGACAAGCAAGCAAGATACATGTTCAAGGGAGAACACAGGCTTGAAGAGAAAGCCTAGATCCTAGCTTCTTAAAACTGTGAGCTGGGGATATGGTGCCGCCAGCAGGTCAATCTGTACCTGTGAGGCAAGTGTATCAGCAGCCTGATGGCACCTTCAGACTTCCAGATACCCCAAAATTGCTGCTGTGCCTTTGGCCAGGCCCCAAAAACTTGGGGCAAAGTTTACCAAGAAAGTAAACGGCCAAAAGTTAGGTATGTGGGAGACACACCCACAAACCACCTCCGGCTCAGCTATATAATTGGAGGCATGGCCTCTCTGGTTCCTGATCGAACTGCTCAATGGCCATGATCCCAGAGACTCAGAAACAAATCTCGAAACCCAACGGCTTTTGGCAGAAATGCATCTGGAACTCGCAGTAGGTTACTATCGCCAGGCACCCCAGGAGGGAGGGAAAGGGTGTTGTCTCTGCCTGCTCCCCCTAGGCGGCCCGGTGGTTGCCATCTTCCAGAAACCACTGGACAGTCAGGTTTGGGCCCTCAGAGATGGATGAGACACGTGGGGACTCACGGGATGGGGGTGGAGCCGGCTCTTTCCTCCCTGTCCCAATGAGACCCCCAAGTCGCTATCCATGAACGGCCTTTCTGGCACCTGTTCAAGCTGCTTAACGGCCATGATTCCAGAGACTCAGGAACAAATCTCGGAACCCAGCAGGTTTTGGCAGAAATCCCTCCAGATTTAAGTGTTAAAATTTCAGAATTTCAGAATCACGCGGCCACTACTGCAGCCACGTGACAACATATGTTATTCTTAACCAGCAATAGAAAACAAATTGTCTACAGTTGCCTTTTCAGCAGATCTGAGTGTTGGGGTAAAATCCCAAATAATAATGGTGGGTCTGGTGTCAAAATATTGAATGTGATCAAAGTAGAGTGAGTAATGTGGAAATCATCTGCCCCACATGTAGGCGGAGGGTGTGGGATGGGGGTATACTGGGGTTTTTGGGGGTGGAGAATGGGCACTGGTGAAGGGACAGGTGTTTTATTGTATGACTGAGACTTAGACCTGAAAGTTTTGTAACTGCTTTCACGGTGATTCAATAATTATAAAAAATGGGAAAAAAAAAGTAAGATGGAGTTCATGCCCAATTCAATCAGCTAATTAGTGGCTGAATAAATAGCAGTACTCCTACATAAAAAAAAATAAATAAAAAAATAAAAACGTGGGCTGCGACACCCATATGGTATCATATAATTGAATATGGGGGTTGTGAGAAATCTGGTGACAGCAAAAGGTTTTTGAATGCATGACAATCAAAAACTAATTAAAATTGACTGCATAATGAATTCAAGGTGTTTCTGTGGCACTTGCCTATGTTATGAAAAGGGGTTTCAAGAGGAAAGAGTTTTGTTTTTTATTTTTTGGGTCACAGCTGGCGATGCACAGGAGTTACACCTGGCTCTGCACTCAGGAATTACCCCTGACGGTGCTCGGGGGACCATGTGGGATGCTGAGAATCGAACCCGGGTCGGCCGCATGCAAGGCAAACACACTACCCACTGTGCTATCTATCGCTCCAACCCCCGAGAGTTTTCAAAGCCCTGATCTGTATTACAGAAAAGAATGATTGAATGGACCTGAAAATTAGCAAATCGTCAAAATTAAAGCTCAAGCTGTGGTTTCAACATATTTATATGAAGAATTAAGTCTTTTTGTTTTGTGTTTGGACCAAACCTGATTGTGCTTCAGGCTTTACTCCTGGCTCACGCTCAGTGATCACTCCTGGCAGGCCTTGGGAACCACACGGATAAGGTAAATGCATTGCCCACTGTACTATTACTCAGGCCCCAAGGCCCTAGGATTGATTTATGAGAAAAACAAAACAAAACAAAAGAAAAACAAAAAAACAGTAGTAGGTCCTATACACAACAATGACTGGAATGGTGCCAGGTTCTAGTCTAAGTACTTTAGAAACATTAACTCTGAACCCTCACAGCAGTTCTGAAGTAGGTACAAGGGTTCCTCCCACTTTCAGGAAAGAGCACAGGGCATAGAGAGGTGAACCAAGATCAGCGAGTCAGGGCCTGTGTAAGGGGTCTGACCTGGGGCAGTCCGGCTGTAGAATACACGCTCTCAGCCTCTGCATTACACTTTCTCCCCTCAGCCAGCCCCTCTGCTTAGGGAAATCCTCACCAGACATTTCCCTCTGCTTAGGGAAATCCTCACCAGACATTTCCCTCACAAGACGTTATGGTCACCTACCTCAAATGTATTTTTTGTCACACCAGCAAGCCCGAAGTACATCATGCCCCCAGTTCTGGAGCTGACACAGATTTCACCAATTTCATCTGTTTTGCAGAGTTGGGGTGGTCCCTCAGGTCTCACAATGCACATCATCCCTAGAGTACAGAAACGGCAGTTAAGGAAGTTCTGAAAAACCTCTGCAAATTAACAGCTTTGTTTTTGTGAACTCATCAACGTTGTGCATTTACCTAGAAGCACTAAGAACACCAAACAGCAACATTAAAAATGGACCTGGAGTTACACAGTGTGGTTGGCAACATACTTCTTATGTTACTGCTGTTGCTTGGTTTTACTTGGGGTCACAGATGGCAGCGCTCAGGAGCGACCCCTGGCTGTGCTTACGATCCTTGGTCATGTTCAGGGGATTGCATGTGGTGATGAGGATGTGAGCCTGGGTGAAGGTGGCTGTTGCGTGAAAGGCAAGGACCTTCCCTTCCACACTCTCTCCAGGCCTGAAAATCTCCATTTTTTTTTTTTTTGGTGGGGGGGGGGGGTGGAGGCACAACCAGCCACGAGCAGGTTTTACTCCTGGTGGGTTTGGAGGACGAGATGGGGTGCCAGGGATCAAATCTGGGTTGGCCATGTGCAAAGCAAGCGCCCTACCCACTGTGCTATCCCTCTGACCCCTGAAATTTCCATCTGTTACACTTGTTTATGTGAGAGAAGGTTTGGTTTTGGGCTCATACTTGGCAGTGCGCAGAGCTTACTTCTGACTTGGTGCTCAAAGATCACACCTGGCAGCACTTAGAGGACCACACGGGGGGTTAGAGATTGAACATGGGTTGAATGCCTTCAAGGCAAGCATGTCCTTACCCACTGTACTATCTCTCCAGCCCCTGAAAGTTTCATCTGTTGGCACTAATGATAATTTTTTTAATTAAGCAAATAAAACATACTAATACAAAGTGTTTTTTTGTGGAGAGGGGAACACAGCTAGTGGTGCTCGGCATGTACTCCTGACTCAGGGATTACTCCTGAAGGTGCTTAAGGGGTCCTATGGGGTCCTGGGTCAGCCATGCGCAACAACATACTAAACTTTTAAAGACAGTGCCATATTTTAAATGACTATAAAGTTTTAAAAAATGAGTTAAAATTACTACTATGTGATCAAATTCAAATCTGTTTCTTATTTTTGGGCCAGACCCAGCAGTGCTCAGGGCTTACTCCTGGCTCTGTGCTCAGGGATCACTCCTGTCAGGCTTGGGTCCTGGGTCTGTCACATGAAAGACAAATGCCCTACCAACTGTGCTTGGCGTTCAATTTGTTTTGTTTTGGGCGGGGGGGGGGGGGGGGGAGAGGGGAGAACACCCAGCTCCACTAAGAACTTACTCCTGGCAGAACTTGGCGGATCATATGGGGTGCTGTGGAATGAAGCCGGGTTGATTGTATGCAAGTACACAACCCAGTGTACTATCTCTCCAGACCCACAAACGCAAATCTTATGGGATACAGTGAACTACAACTTTTCAGTGGTTTGGGAAATACAGTGACAACCAGATCACTTTAGAACACTGAGTACAAGCTTTCATGTGAACAGCTGGGACTGGAATCTACAACTAAATCATATGTAATCATCAGAAAGTAAGAATTTCTGTCCTATTAGAGAAACTCAAAATTATGTGATGAAGTACTGAATGTTATATGCCTAGTATTTTTAATTCACAGTTTATCAGGTGCTATATGTAATGATGAAATATTGTAAAAAGACAAAGTGCCTGAGAACTCACCACCGGGCATGACATGCCCCACATCCTGGACAGTCAGTGCTGAGTTTTTATCTTCAGTATTGACCCGTATTACCCCATAGCTCAATCCATTCATTGAGAGAATGGCTCTTCCAGGCAAAGGGGCCCCTGGAACACCAGGTCTGAAAACAAAACAACTCATCAAATTGGGCATATGAAAGAGAAAAATAAACTTTTCCTGGCTACAACACACACACACACACACACACACACACACACACACACACACACACCCCTCTCTTTACCCAAAAATGTCAAAAAAATCAAATTCATATTGTACAAGGGTCAAGTGTCATTCAGGTGGAAAATGTAACATTTAACTGAGGCTCTAAAAGTAAAATTTACTAAAAAGTGAAAAAGACAGAGAGCCATTCTCTCTCTCACTCACATATATATATATATATGTGAGTGTGTGTGTGTGTGTGTGTGTATATATATATGTGTGTGTGTATATATATGTGTGTGTATATATATCATATATATGTGTGTGTGTGTGTATATTCAAGAGAGAGAACTGTACTACAAATGAGCATTTCATTCCATTTTTGGCTCTTGGGCCACACCTAGCAATGTTTGGAGGTTATTTCTAGATTGGAGGAGCGTAGGGATCACACTCAGTGGTGCTTGGGCGACCATGCACTGCCAGGGAACAAACCCAGGGCTACAACATTAAAAGTGAGCTCCAGCCCTCTGAACTATCATTCTGGCCTGTGTTTTCCCATTTGGGGGTGGGGATGCGAAAGGCACATCTGACAGTGCTCAGGGCTTACTCCTTACTCTGTGCTCAGGTATCACTCCTAGTGGGCTTGGGGGACCATACAGGGTACTGGGGATTTAACCTGGGTTGACCTCATTCAAGGCAAAAGCCCTACGTACTGTACTATCTTTCCGGCCTTTGTTTTTCCATTCTTCAGCTAAAATCAACAACGGTCTACTTCTAGTCTAGGATGCTGGTCAGGGATTCAAATGCACAAAACAATACAGGAAAATAACTCAATTCTCAAACGTGAGAAAAGAATCGTTTTCAGTTAACCAGTTTCAGTTAATCAAGACAGTAGTAGGACAAATAAATGCAACGCTGCAAACTGCGTATGAAGCAGATTAGCACCTCATCTATCGCGTTTGATCAAAGCTGTAGCATGCATGAAGAACACAGGCACTCGAACAATACCTGCGGATGGCCACAGTCATGGCTTCAGCAGAAGTAGCACATGGACAGATGGCCTCCGGTTTTAGCCCATGGCTTTGGAACAGACTCAGGAAGGCATCACAGGATGACACAGACCCTGTGGAGTAGGAACAGATTATTATGAAAGCTAAACTGCAGGAAATTGATAAAGAGGAGAAACACAACACTTTTTTTTTTCTCACAAGGACTCTCATCATACATCATGAATTCCACACAAATATTTTACTGTGCATGTGAGATAGTTGATACAACTCAAATGAACGCTCATCTAGCCCAGGAAAGGGAATCAATGCTCTTTAAAAACTTTCCACTCAGGGTGCTTGAGAGATAGTACAGCAGGTAGGGTGCTGGCCTTGTAAATGCAGCCAACCTGAGCTCAATCCCGGGCATCCCATATGGTCCCCTGCGCACCAGCAGGGGTCATTCCTGAATACAAAACCAGGTGTAACCCCTGATCATTACTGGGTATGGCCCCCAAACAAACAAACAAACAAACAAAAGTTTCCACTCAGAAGAAGGAGCTCCTACCAATGGCCTGAGCAGCTGCAGTGAGGTGATGCAGGGAACAGGCAGTGGCTTGGAACTGAGCAACCCTTTCTGAAGCAACATTTGATCTGTGTGGAACTAATATTCTGGCATAGTTCAAACTTCTTCTATGGGCTATACTTTGATTTGTCCAGGGGTTCAAAACCAGGCTTTGCACACACAAGGCATATGCTCTATCACTTGGGCCACATCCCCAGCCCCTGAGAAGTACATTTTAAATGGGTCAGTTTTACAGTATGTGAACTGTATCTCAAAATAAGTTATGAATTATAAATTGTATATATATATATATATATATATTTAGTGGAGAAGTATGAAGGAGACAGGAAGTGGGGAAGAGAGAGGCTATATGTTTAGGAGAGAACCTGGGCTTTGGAGGGATTTGGGGTGGGGGAAGAAATTGAGAGTACACATCTCAGCTTGAGATGAAGACCAATCTCCAGTTCATCACCTAATATGTTATTTAAATACTATAGGCCACTGAGAATCACAAGGAGTGATCCTGGTGGCCCTCAAAACTGTGGGCTGGAATAGCACCTCACTGCCAAGACTAGCACCAAATTGTGAGGTCCACATAACCAAGCCAAGTATCAGCAGAAACACAACTGGGGAGGCCTCTCTGAAAAATTCAGAGGGGCTGAAGTGACAGTACAGCAGGTAAGGCTCTAGCCTTGCACATGGCTGGCTCGGGTTTGATCCCTGGCACCCCATTTGGTCCCCCGAGCTCTATCAGGAGTGATTCCTTAGTGCAGATCCAACTGCTGGGTAGAAAGAGCCTATACTCAACCTGCCAAAAGAATGGCTATTCCCATACCCACCCGCACTCTACAAATACTCACAGGGATTTGCTCCGTCGGTCACAATTAACATCCGAAGGGAACTCAAGCTCACATCTCTTTGGTCCCGATGTGCCATCATGGCCCAGTGCAAGTCTCGACATTTGACCAAAGCTACCTTAGCTATAAGTTCCAAGGGAATGAAGTTAGCATACAAATGCAGGCGGAAATTTGATGTACTACAATAGAAACCCCACTTGGAGCCCCTATCCCTCCAGCACTGCCTGAAGCAAACCCAATTACAAAGTAGGAGGATCCATGAGCACTGCAAGGTCTGGCCCCCTCCCCACTCCAATCTTAGCTCAAACTGGCACAGAAGTAAAGCTTAGGTGCTGTGTGTAACTACCTTTGTGGGCATGAACTCTCTGGACCCAAGAGAGAGGACAAGTCTTCATAACAGAGTACGGTACGCTAATTGTATGCATCTTATTCATTACATTCTGAAAAGCAAAAGAAAGACAAAAAGTAATTACTGTTTAATATTACTTAGCATTTAAAAATTGAACTGATATTTTGTTAATTTAATCCTCAAAGCAACACCCAAAGTCATGCTCCTGGGGCCTGAGCGATAGTACATAGTACAGTGGGTAGGGTATTTGCCTTGCACACAGCTGATTCAATTTGATCCCCAGCATCCCATACGGTTCCCTGAGCACCACCAGGAGTGATTCCTGATTGCACAGCCAGGAGCAACCCTTGGGCATTGCTAGGTGTCACCCAAAAAGACCAAACAACAACAACAACAAAAAACCCAAAACAAAACAAAGTTATGCTCACTGAAAAAAACCTAAAATACTAATTATGAGGTTCAAGTCTTCTTTATCACCTCACCCTGATTCCCTCCATCTTCTCACAAATAATCACTGAAAAGAACCTGGTTTGTGACCAATCAATCCTTTCCCCAAATATTTCTATCTCTCTCTCTCTCTCTCTCTCTCTCTCTCTCTCTCTCTCTCTCTCTCTCTCTATCTATATATATATATATATTTGTCACCAGAGAAACAATGTACTTTGAATATAGAAAACATATACTATAAAAGCATCTGCAAAATGCTTTTTCATTTAAATTGAGAACTAAACCTTTACTTTTCAGTGTAAGAAACTGACATAATTTCTACTGCACTATACACACACACACACACACACATATGTGGAAATGTGTGTGTGTGTGTCTGTGCTACTATAATCTGTTATGGTTCTATTACTGTTTTTTTTTTTGCTATTACAAACAATGTTTCCAGGAACTTGGAATTTACTTGAGCATACATCCCTGGGCACATGAACAATTGTTTCTCCAGGGTATATACAAAAAAGCTGAACTGCTGGGTCTTAGATATATAGATCACTTAAATTTAAAAGATTTTTAACCTCTAAATTTAAGAGACCTTTAATCTATTAAGTGCTCTCCTCATGCTCATTCTCACTACATAATACAAAGGGCTGGGCATTATGAAACAAGAAACCCAAGTTTCCCTGTTGCTTAAATACAGACTGTATTTGGGGGGATGAAGCTGAGTGAGCTTTGCCCACTCAAAGCTAAGGGGCTGTGCAATCTGTTGTCTCCTCAAACAAGTGCATGAAGACCCTGTCCTGAGACCAAACTGGCTGAGAAAGTTTTCTTGTGAGAATGGATATGTTTTTCATTTACCACATAGGTGGCCCACTGCAGACCTACTCTTTTTCTTTTTTGGGGACACACACACACACACACACACACACACACACTCAATGATGCTCAGAGGTTATCCCTGGTGTGCAGATCTATTCTTTCTCCAATGTCTCTAGCTTTCTTTATAAGAAATCTCCACACATATTCCTAACTTGGTTTTTATATTGAAGAGAGGTGCCTCCCTTTAATTCCTCATAAGGGGCTTTTAAAGTCTGATTTTAAAAAATGGTTAGAACATGTTCATTTGAAGTAGGTTCTTAGTAATTCAAAGGGCTGCTACCAAGGGGTAGCAGGAGGGAAGGGTCTTTGGCAAAAAGTAATCTTCTACCAGGCTTCCTTTTCCAAAACTCAGGATTTCTTCAGTGTGTAACAAAATTGAACTAGACACTCCTTTTTTTTTTTTTTTTGAACTAGACACTCTTGAAGGTCCCTTTCTTTTTTCTGCATGTGGGACACACTTTGAAGTGCTCAGGCTTTTCTCCTGGTTCTGTGCTCAGGGGTCACTCCTGGCAGTACTGAGAGGACTAAATGCGGTACTGAGAGGTCAGTCACATGCAAGGCAGGAGTCTTACCATTGTACTATCTAACTTCCTGAAGTTCCTTTTCATCATTAGGAGTCTTCGTCTTCCAGCTCTCCCTCCTAGTCAGCATGCTTTCCCCTCCCCCCACTAGTGAGCGGCATGAACAGAGTTGAGCTCATGCCAGGCATGTGTGCCCCATGGAACTAGGCTAGCTTTTCCCATTTGAAATGCCTTTTCCTGATATATGGCTAAATTAAAAAAAAAAAAGGTTTTAAAGTTAGTCCCCATGAAATTACAAAGTTGTCCATGATTGGGTTTCAGGCATACAATATTTCAACACTGATTCCTTCACCAGTGTCCACCTCCCTCCACTAATGCTCTCCCACCTACCAGTCTGCTTCTATGACAGGTGCTTTTTTGAAAAAAAAAATGTATGCGTACACTGTGGCTTACAGTTTGATTGCCGACAGGGTCTCATACATAACACCTGACCACCTTTCAGCATCCCTCCTCCTAGTTGAAAGTTTTCCTCCACCACAGATGTTGCCCCCTCCCTGTCCTGTTCCCCAATGCCCTCAAGAGGCATGTTTCCTACTGAACGCCAGTTCTCATGTTCTTTGTTTCCACTGTCTTTGAGTATTTGTTATTTTATGTTCCTTTACATCCTGCATATGAGAGAGATCATTCTGTATGATATGGCGGAATTTTACCCATTCTGTCAAAGTCAAACTCAACTGTCATTTTTCCCATAGAAACAAACTTGATTTTCTTATGCAATTATGTGAAGTGTATGGTCAATCACAATGAATTAAAAAAAATTTACACTATTAAAAAAATACTACATAAGAAAATTCCAATTGGAAAAAAAAATGACCTTTTGGGGGCTTAAATTTCAAAGTACCACTGCGATGCTCTGGTTATAAAACCTAATACTGACTTAAACCATAGCACTGTACTGTCACTGTAGCACTGTCCTCCCGTTGTTCATCGATTTGCTCGAGCGGGCCCAGTAACGTCTCCATTGTGAGTTGTTGTTACTGTGTTTGGCATATCGAATACATCACGGGGAGCTTGCCAGGCTTTGTCATGCGGGCGAGATACTCCCAGTAGCTTGCTGGGCTCTACGAGAGGGGTGGAGGAATCGAACCAGGCTTGGCCGGTCTGGCTGCGTGCAAGGCAAACGCCCTGCCACTGTGCTATCGCTCCAGCCCACTGACTTAAACCATAAGCATATTTTATACTAAAAACCTTAACTCTAGGGAGCCAGAACAATAGTAAAGTGCATAGGGCATGTGCCTTACAGGTGGCTGACCTGGGTTCAATCTCTAGCATACTTATGGTCCTCTAAGTCCACCAGGAATGAATCCTGAAGAGTAATCCCTGAGAATGGCTTGATGTGGCCACCCCCATGTCCCCACTCCACCCCCAAATCCCCTGTTTCCTTTTTTGATGATGCTATTTGTTTTGCTGGTGCTGGGAACTGAACCCACAAACATACAAGCAAGTGCTCTTGAGGGGAGTCACATTCTAGGCCCTCAGTACCTCAATGCTGAAGAGCTTACCGCAAACATGCCATGCCACAGCCCAGCATCCTTCTTACAATCTAGAACATTCACTACTGTTTCACCTAAAATAGGAAATACAGAAAAACAGAAGAAAATCCTCTTTAGTACTCAGAAGTAAAGTCGTGTCAAGTTCTTCTATGAAGCAACTGTTTCAGTGATTTTAAAGAAAATACTGAGAGTTCTAAAGGCCTTTTGATTACATGCAGATCTCCCTGAACTGACTGGGGAATGGCAAAAAGATAATGAGTCTAAAGCTTTTCACTTAGAGACTGTCTCCTGAGATAATTTTTCCCTGTATTATATATAAGGAATATAAATTTTAGAAATTTTGAACATTTCACAAACATGTAAAAATTATACTACCAAGACAAAATTTAAAATGTTGGTAAGCATGTACATGATAATCTGCCCCCACACATATAATTGTACTTATATAATACCTAATAATAAAATGGGTATATACTACTCTGTAATTTGTTTACATTTAGTAATTTATTAAAACAACTGCCTCATTTCTTAGAGCACAAACTATTACATGAATGTGTTATAGTTTAATTGATCCCAACTTGAGGTGGGTATTGAGCTACAGCTAGTGGTATGAACACTCTCGGACGTGCTCTGGGGACCATCTGTTGTGCTGGGGATCAAACAGAGATCGACCAGACAAGACAAGTACCAAATCCCCTGCACTCTCTCTCAGGTCCCCAACCCCTATTTTGAGGTGACATCTGAATTGCTCCCATACATACATTTCTATAGTTTGTATGTATATGTGTATGCATAGAGTATACACACACACGACAGAATGCTAGTCCGCACTCAACATACATTAACTAGTTTCACTGCATAAAAAATTAACAGTACGAAGAATATTCTAAAGCAAATAGTCACTGCATATCAATGCATCGAACTATCTAGCAACAAATCTAAAGTTCAATAAGACAGAATACATTTTGGGCTTTAATCGGTCTGTGGTAGCTGAACTTCTTTTGATGATAGTTTCTAACACACAGTTTGTGGGAGTTTTATATATTCAAGCGGATGAAGATGCCTCACACTCCGTAGTTAATAAGCACACATATTAATTTTTTACGTCTGCAATCTGGAACTCATGCTTTACATATTTGGCTTGCCCATTTTCGTTCCTTTAAATTACAGCACATTTGTGAAAAAGAAGGCAGCAAAAGTCAGCCAAGAATGTGTCACACAATTTCACTCTCAATTTGGTCATTAACTGGAAGCCAATCCTGAAGCCCGACTCACAGTCACATCTATCTGAAGCTCACAATGAGGGCAGTCACGGGAAAAAGTCTGACCTTCAGTGTAATTGCAGGCCTGGGACAGAGCTTGGCAGTGAGACAACATTGCAAGCCGGGATACTGTAACTCCCATTACACTCCCTTCTTTGCTTGTTTTGTACTAGAAAAAATACATACAGACAAACACAAAAATAAGAAAGACAATACAATGAGTTATTTCAAATGACGTAACTAGAATCCAAAACAAAACCCAGATATAGATGTCTTAACGGACCATATTTCCTGTGTTTCATATGAATATGTGAGGCCATGAGAGTGTATCCAAACTCTAATCACACAAAGCTAAGACTGCCGAATGACAAAGTTCAATGAAAGTATGTGTGAAAAAGACTCGAAAGCTTAATTAGGCATCAGTGTGATGTGGTTGCTAGGGAAGCTTACACAGACAAATGACTGGAGCTACGTTAGTTGAGGCACAGGAAGAATCAAGTATGTGGCAGGCACTACAGGGACACGTAGTGGTATGGAAGATGTGTTCCCCGACCATCAGAAGCTCCCTACCTGGGAAGGAAAAACCTAGAAACTGCCCTTGCACTCCGATAAATCAATCAATGTTTTGCTTCTGCCTCAATGCTCAAGCAGCTTTGGATCGAGATTAGCAACTTTATAGCTGTTAATCAACAGGACATATTACATACTTCTCTCCACTTTCTTCTTCCCTAGATTTTGTGATACCTCTCTCATATTTATGCCTCTTGCTCTTCCTTTTTCACTCTCCTTTCTTCACCCACTCTTTAAAAGTTGGCAGGGCCTGCAAGTTTAGTTCTTGATTCTTCTCCTTTCACTCTATCACATCAGGGAACTATGCCGAGAAGACCTTCAATTCTATCTCCAGTAGAGACCTCTCTCCAGAGATCCAGATTCAGTGGGTCGGTCTCCTGAATGACCCCTGAATTTGTAAAATGCAGTGTGTGCAACATCTGTGGCCTCACGCCAGAAAATCTTCCTGCTGCAATTTCTAATTCAGCAAAGAACGCTGCCATCTATCCAAACTGCCTGAGTCCAAAACCTGAGTTTTCCCTACTTCCTCCCTTTCTGGAGGCATCATTGCATCGGTCTATTCTGGTTTCCTAACTACCATGTCAGGCCCATTAACCTGTTTCTAATGGCTACTGCTCTGAGTTGCAGTTCACCCAGGCAGCCCTGACAGCTCGTCTATTTCCCTTCTTAACCCAACCCAACCATGCCAATTTTTAAAAACACAGATATTTTGTAGGGCGTCTGCCTTGCACGCAGCCAACACGGCCGACCCGAGTTCGATTCCTCGGCCCCTCTCGGAGAGCCCGGCAAGCTACCGAGAGGATCTCGCCCTCACGGCAGAGCCTGGCAAGCTCCCCGTGACGTATTCGATATGCCAGACACAGTAACAACAAAGTCTCCAATGGAGACGTTACTGGGCCCGCTCGAGCAAATCGACGATCAACGGGAGGGCCTTTACTTTTTACTTCTGTTCAAAATCCTTTAATTGTTCCCTAATACTCACAGGACAGTCTGGATCCACTAGTAAAGTCCTGAGATAATAAGGGAGAAATGCAAGCGAGAAAAGGAAGTTAATTCAGAATTGTAGGAACCTACAGCCACAGAGGTTCTACATGAGGCCAAAGAGTGAAGTAGAAGCCATACACTGAAGAGCTCTTTACCTTTTAGGCAAAACCAACAAAGAAGGGTGAGAAGAGTAGTCAGTGAGACAGAAGGCCTGAGAGTGAAGGTTCAAAAAGCCAGTGAGTGGTTTTCAGGAGATGGAGGCTGAATCATCTGTCTCTGACATGGCAGGAATTTAGAGTTGACTGCTAAGTTCGGAATAATAGGCCTATTTGCTTGCCTATTATTCGAGCATACTCAGACCACTTTCATCTTTGAAAAACAGTCCGCCTGGTACCCAACATTAATTTTTCAAAGGTACTGCCCACAGACTTCCCTTTTACAGCCAGTTATTTAAAAGCTATCTAAACCTATGACCACAGGGTCCAAATCTATTTTTTAAAAAGTATTGAATGTTTATTAATTTACAAAACACTTGGTGAGCAAGTATAAATATGCTTTAAGCAGACTGCAGAGTGGTGATAGGTGGTATAAAAGAAGTAGTGGTGATAGGCAGAGTAAAAGAAATGTGAGCTTCAGTTCCACCATTCTTGAATCTTGAGGCTTTAGGTCAGTTACTCAAGTGTTTTGATGTCTCAGTCTCCTCACTGACAAACTAATTTATTAACAACTCACACCTCAGAATGTTGTTGTGAGAACAGAATGTGAAAACATGTTAAAAGCACTGAGCCTGGTACCTAGTGTACAAGACGATTTAATTCCTCAATTACATTAAGGCATTAACCTTTAATAACCATCCTATAATCATTATGTTTGTTCTTGCTTTTTACTTTTCATCTGCTGAATTTTTTTCAAACAACGCTATTTTACCTCATTCCACCATTTTCTTGCTTCCCTTTCATATGTCCCATCTCCAAGAGCTGAGATATCTCTGCCTATAAATATGTTTGGGGGCCGTGGGGGGAAAGGGTAACCCAAGTGGTGCTTAGGAGGCCCAGAGATAGTCTAGTGATTCTTGGCCAAGTGGGCCTGTGTTTAACAAAAGGGACCAGAAATTGTTGGGAGGTGCCAGGAATCAAATTAGGGTCAGTCACATGCAAAGCATTCTCCCTAGCCTGTAGACTTTCTCTTCAGCTTCTCTATCAGTGAATCATTTCTTAAGCCTTTTCACTTTTTTTTTTCTTTTTGGGTCACACCCAGCGATGCACAGGGGTTACTCCTGCCTCTGCACTCTGGAGCTACTCCTGGCGGTGCTTAGGGGACCCTATGGGATGCTGGGAATTGAACCCGGGTCAGCTGCGTGCAAGGCAAACGCCCTACCCGCTGTGCTACTGCTCCAGCCCCAAGCTTTTGTAGATCTGCAAGCCTTTTTTACTTTCCTATGTGCATCCTATTTTTCTCCTAATACTGTTAAAAATAATTATAAGAAAGTTCATTATATGACATCTTTAACACTTAAGGGTGGAAATCTAGCAAAGCAGAATATTTACGTAAAACAGTTTCAAGTTTTGCAAAATAAATGTATTTCTAAGGTAGCAACAAATCCCAAAAGGAGAGCCAAAATACATGTTTTAGACTTAGGACTTACCTCAATGTATGCTGGTTCCATTCCAGCAGGTGAGATGTGGGGTTGCCAGTCTTTAGGTGGCTTTGAAAGGTATTTGGAATCTGTCACAACCCATTTGAGCCGAGGCCAACCTTAATCAAACCCAAGATAAAAATTGAATTATCTAAGGCAAAAGGTAAGGACCCTCCTTGCTGTATTCTCTCTCTAGACCTGATACTTAATTCTTTTAACTTTCACTGAAAAATCATACCTTGTTAGACCATGACATTATCTCAACAAGTGGGAAGTCCACTTGGAAGCATAAGTCACTTAAGTTAGTGGTTTATCCTGTTTCTACACAAAGCATTTAACTGCAGTGAACAGAATGGAAGCTTTTTCCAACCATCAGCATAAAAGTTAAGGATGTAGGCCATGGAATCACACAGCTTTGGGTTGAAAACTCTGCTCTGCCATTTATTTGCTGTGATTTTGGGGAAATTACTTAACCTTTCCACGTTTGTTTCTTTGCCTGCAGAATGGAAACAATGGCACTTACTTTGTAAGATTAATGGACTAAAATAGGATATGTAAAGTTCTTAGCCACTCTATGAAAACCCTGAGCTTTTTATTAAAGTGTGTGTGTGTGTGTGTGTGTGTGTTGGGGGGGAGGGTGACAGTGCCATACCCAGTGGTGCTCAGGATCAAACCCAACCTCTTGCAGGCAAAGCACCAGCCCTCTGAGCTATCTCCCTGGCCTCAGCTTGAACCTTTTGTGGGTGGTTTCCAAGCAGTGCCCAGATCTGGGTACCCCACCAGTGATTCTTGGTTATCTGGGTCCTCAGTTCACTGCAAGGACCTGAGGAATTGCAGCTGCTTGGGGCCTACAGCGTGAAGGCCACACGGAGCGGTGCTCTGGGCTCCAGATGGGGGCCTACGTTGTGTCGGATAAAGCATTAGACGCATACCAGGCATGTGCCCTTACTGCTGTACTTTCCCCCAGTCCCTCAGGTCTAATGTTTAACTTCAGGTATAACTTACCTTTAAACTGTACAATTTCTCCATTCTGGGTTTTTGGCAATCCTTTCAGGCAAATTTCACTTGTAAGAGCTAAAGCAATACCACAACTTCCTAACAAGAAACCAATCTGCTGCCCTCCAGCATCCTGTGGAGAAAAGATAATCAGCAAACAGAGCATACCTGGGCCCCATATCTAACCCTGAGCAATGCTCTGGCACTTGTGTGATAACATTTGTGGAATCCCATTGATAACTGGCAACAGTCAAAATCCAGTGACAATAAATTCTTCCAAACTGTGGGATTATTTTATAAGAAGACTACAATGGATGTAAACATCTCACAATTATTTCTTGAGTAGAAATTTAAGTTCTAATCTAATACTGCTAATGATTAATTCTATCAGGCAAATGTAATGATTTTATTCCAAGGTCAGCAATGGCCTCTGAGTTCTCCTTCAGGAGAATGTAATACATGTGACCATGGTTAAATTGTAAGCATAGTAATTTAGGTTACAACAAAGTGAATACAATAAGTAAATATTAAATATCCAAATACACAATGATGTAATGGATGGTTATACCCAAATTCAAAGTATGTGTATTACTTTTCATTTTCATTTTATTTTTAAATTTTGGGGCCATACACGGTGGCCCTCAGGGCATGCTCCTGGCTCTGTACTCACGGGTCACTCCTGTTTTATTGTTTTTGTTTTGTTTTGGGGCAAAACCCAGCACTGTTCAGGGGTTAATCCTGGCTCTGCGCTCACAAATTATTTCTAGTGGGCTCCGATTCTATATCTGGGATGCCAGGGACTGAACCCAGGTTGGCCACGTGCAAGACAAATGCCCTATCCACTGTATTACTGCTCTGGCCCCTCAAGGATCACTCCTGGTGGTGCCACATACACAATGATGGGGATAAAGGCAAGAACCTTACCAGCTGTACTACCTCACTGTCCTTGTCTATCTTACTTTATTTTGAAGAAGGCGGATTTAAGTCTTACAAACAACAAAAAAGATGAGATATTTCTAAATATGATAACATGATATGTTTAGAAATGATAATGTTCCCATTAAAATTCCACTTTGAAAGGATCATCATGAAACCACATAAACAGTCAATTTAAGAAAATTTTCTGACAAGTCTACCAGAGATACTATATTCCATAGATTAGAGTTTCAGGACTACTACCAAGTCATCTTTTATTTCACTCAGAAAAAAAAATTTTTTTTTTCTTTATAAATCCACAGTCTCTACTGTATCTATTTGTATCATCAGCTCTTGTTATACACGCATGAGGAAATAATATTTAAACAGCTCACAGAGAAATCATTTGGCGAAACTTGGGAATCTGCGAGACATGCTTCATTCTGTAGGGCAATGTTGTCAAAATAAAGCCATATGCTCCCAGGTACCAGCACTGAATCAATATTTGATTTAATAGAAATCCTAGATTATATGGTACAGTTAAAGGATTTCTCTTTACAAGAAAGGCCTCACATTTTATACACATGGGTTATTTACAGTTGCTGGAGCAAAAATGATACTCATTACAAATGATAACTGTTGAAAGATTAAGCTCCCAAGATTTCTAAAGTAAAGTAAAGTAAGTAAGGGCCCTCCCATTGGTGATCGATTTGCTCGAGCGGGCCCAGTAACGTCTCCATTGGAGACTTTGTTGTTACTGTGTCTGGCATATCGAATACGTCACGGGGAGCTTGCCAGGCTCTGCCGTGTGGGCGAGATACTCTCGGTAGCTTGCCGGGCTCTCCGAGAGGGGGCCGGGCTCTCCTCTATCTTATTTGGAAATCTTATCTGAATGAAACTTATCAATTCACTAATAATTCATCTACAACTTTCATGTTTTTGGTTTTCCTATGGGGGGCCACGGTTGGCAATGAGACAGGCTATTCCCAGTTCAGGGCTTGGGGGTTGCTCTCGGGGAAGCTCAGGGGGCCAGGGGGTTCCAGAGACTGAACCCAGCCCTCCCACATTCAAAACAAAATCTAGCCATGTTGAACTATCTATCTTCAACTTTCATGTTTTTAAAAGTAAAGCTGAGTATTTAAGAAAATCATCTTTCTTCAATACTGTGACCAAGTCCATTGGAGGGTGAACCCATGCCTCTAAAATTTAGCAATGTTACCTTTCTGGTAAGGGGTACCTCAATAGGCACGGGAATCACTTCTGCCAGGAGACATCCATAAAAAGCCACCATGAACATGACTGGATCATTGTTGGGGTAAACCAGGGCTACCTAAAATGTATAATGACATGCAATAAGAACAGATCACCAATTTCAACACACACTTTATAATGGAAACTTCTGGAAACTAAGTTACTGAGAAGATGCATAAAGAGTCACTCTCGGGTTGTACTGGACACGTTTTAGGATCTGAAATCATGAGGAGAATTTCTCACTTAATTCTACTGGTGCCCTAGGAGTAAATTACTTCCCTTACATAGAAAGTTACATAGAACGTTAATTATTTGCAAAACTTAAGGTACAGGGCTAAAGCAAAAAATGGGATGGACCTCTCTAGATAGACCAGCATATTCAATAAGTTTACATTTAGAGAGACCCTATAATTTCTGGCTGACTTAATACCACCTTGGGGTTTCTTACTATTTATCACGTTTATTGCCTTATTCCTTACTCACTTACCCAATAATGCAAATTCTTCATGAAGACATCTGTTTATAAATACAAGCACCAATAGGAGTCATTCTGAATTTAAAATTAATTACAAAATATAAAGAGAAATCTCTATAAGATGTTCAAGCTGTTGTCTCATTAATAAGGCATCACAGGAACTACTGACTCCCTAACTTACTCAAGAAATATCAAAACACAGAAGATCCTACCACTATGGAATTTATGACTGGCTCAGCATTTCACATATTAATGTCTGAAATACTTTGTCACTACTTATTTTTCCCCCTTTTGCTTGCAAATTCTCTTAGCTCACTTCCAAGGCAAATGCAATTCTGCACCTCCTGGAGTTCTAAAAACAAAAACCAAAAACTTAACTCCACGAGACACTTAAACAACCTGTTTTCTTCCTGCACACAAGTGTCCATGTTGCTAGGACACATAAACCACCTCTTAGGGTTCAATGAGGATTAGGAAACACTCAAATATCAGTTATAAGGAGAAGCCATCTTAAGTGCATCCTTTTTCACAATGCTGTTTATGTTTTGGGGGGCCACACTCTGTAGTACTCAGTGCTCAATGGCCACAATGAGCTACTTAAAAGGCTAGTTTAAGGGCCAGAGATACAGCTCAGCGGCAGAGCGCTTGACCTGTACGCAGAAGACCTGGGTTCCATCCCTAGCACTAACACACAAAAATACTGTCTAGGGCTGTAGAGATAGCTTAAGGGGCAAAGCATATATATATATATGCACGCAGGAGAACTGGGTTCAATCTTTAGCACCATACAGTTCCTTGGGCATCCCAGCTCACGAAGCACTGAGCTGGGACTAGTTTCTGAGGGCTGCTGGATGTGACCTAAAACACACAAAAAGGGGGGCCAGGAGATTATGCAGTATGAGCTTACTAAAAAAAAGTTGTGGATTTTGTACTTCATTCTACTATTTCTGAATGAAAAGCAATGTTCAATGGTAAAATGTATCATATTTAGGAAGTCAGTATAGAAAAAAATTAAAAAACTAAAAAAATAGGGGCTGGAGATGGTTTAGGGAGCAAGGAATTTGCCTTGCCTATGTCTGACAATTTTTTTGATTCCTGGAACCACATATGCCCAGAGCCCTACCAGGTGTGATCCATGAGCACGGAATCAGGAGGAAGTCCTGGTTGGAGTGAGAGTACAGGGGTAGAGCATTTGCCTTGCGCATGGCTGACTCAGGTTTTGTCCCCAGTATTCCATATGGAATACTGGGGAATCCCACCAGGAATGATCCCTGAGCACAGAGTCAGGAGTCAGTCCTGAGCACTGCTGGGTCCAACCCAAAACCAAAAGAAACAAAAACAAAAAAATCAAGTAAACAAAAAGTAGGAGTAATTCCTACTAACTACAAAGTATGAACCAACACCCTCCCCCGCCACCAAATAAATATAATTAAAATGGAAACTACAAAAAATAGTATTACCTTCAACAAAAAACTAAATAATAATAACAATGTTTCTTTCTAGAAGGGTCATTTCTATACAACAATCGAAGAAAACTGCTTTAAGTTTCACAGGGTAGGGGGCTGGAGCAATAGCACAGCGGGTAGGGCGAGCGACCTGGGTTCGATTCCCAGCATCCCATATGGTCCCCTGAGCATCGCCAGGGGTAATTCCTGAGTGCAGAGCCAGGAGTGACCCCTGTGCTTTGCCAGGCGTGACCCAAAAAGCAAAAAACAAAAACAAAAAAAAAAAGAAAGGAAAAAAAAGTTTCACAGGGTATTTTGTTTCTTTTGTGGTGTTTGTACTGTGTTGTCTGATTGCTTTGTTTTGGGGTATCAGGGATCAAACCATGCCCTGGGCACGCAAGGCATACATTCTATCCTCAGTGCCTACTGGGCTTGTAAATTACTTCATTTATCACACATGAATCTGCTGACTCAGGTATGCGGGTTTTCTGACTGAAATCACCAGGCTCTCACAGAGTTGGCAATGGGCGACTTTCTTCCATCTCCCTGTTCTTCAGGAAGCCTGGAAGTCACATCCACGAACTGCCTCTGGTACCATATGAGCTCATTAACAGCCGTGATCTAGAGACTCACAAATCTCGGAAGAGAGCCCCATGCTCCAGAGATGCCTCCAGATCCCAAAGTCACCATCCAGTTAACAATTTAATGCCTGCTATATCACCCTACTTAAAATTTTAGAGTTCCTGGAGTATGTGGCTATTGACATCTCATACTCTACTCCACTGATACACCAAGAGGAGCACACCACATTTGATGGGGTGTAAATATTTAGCACACAAGGCTCAACCTGTAACAAGATGTGAGTAGTCTCTTCCACAAGGGCTTAATGTCTTCAGCATGAGATACAACAATCTTCACACACCTTCCTCTAAGGAAACCTTTCTGGATCACTGTTAGTGGATATTCAGAACAAACAAGTTTTTTTTGGGGTCACACCCGGCGATGCACAGGGGTTCCTCCTGGCTCTGCACTCAGGAGTTACTCCTGGCGGTGCTCAGGGGACCATATGGGATGCTGGGAATCGAACCCGGGTCAGCCGCGTGCAAGGGAAATGCTCTACCCGCTGTACTATCACTCCAGCCCCAAAATAAATTGTTTAGGATCTGCCTCTGGGGAGGGCTTGGGTGGTGGTGGAAAAATTCAAAATAATGGTGATGGCACTGGTGTTGGAATACTGAATAAAATTAAATTACTGTGAACAACTTTATAAAAATAAACGATTTCATTTAGTTCATCTGAATTTTTCTTATATTAGTTTCAAACCCAGGTTCGCACATAAGCAACCAAGTGCTCTACTATTGAGCTACACTCTAGACCCAACTGGGATTTTATTTATTAATGTTTTGGGGCCACACCCAGTGATGCTCTAGGGTCACTACTGGCTCTGTGCGGAGGAATCACTCTTGGCAGGTTCAGAGGGCCATAATGAGATCTGGGAATCAAACCCACATTGGCCACAGGAAAGGTAAACACCCACTTTACTATTTTCTGGCCCACCTATCTGACATTTCAAAATTAGTTAATGGGGTATATCTCACTAATTAACTAATAATTATTATTAATAGTTCCTGGGAAGTGCTCAGGAACTATTCCTGTCTCTGTGCTCAGGAGTGACTCCTATGTAGTACCAAGGATTCAAACCAGGGTCAGCAGGATCATGGCAACTGCTTTAACCCCTATATTATCTCTCTAGCCCTGTCTGGCATTTAAAAAGTAAAATAAAATCAGAGTAAGCTTTATAGCTGCCTTTATGCCCCAGATACTGAAACACTTATTCTAAAAAAAACTTATTCCTCTTCTTCCTTTAAACTAGTACCTCTAAGAGCTCACAGGTTAGCAGCCACAAAAAGTGACATGCAATCAATGGATGCAATATCTTCCCAATTCACATTGAATGCAAAAACTATCACCTAGAACCAAACCATTTCATTTTCTAAGGATGAGTTTTATCAATGGAGCTGTTGTACACTAGGCATACAAAATATACATTGCCTCTCTCAAACCAAAAACCAACTTACCCTGTCTCCAGGTTTTAATACAGGCTCATTTTTGGTCCCCAGTTTATTAAGCAGTGTGTAGGCCAACTTTAAACTTCTGCTCCACAACTTTCCTGAAAAGAAGGAAAAGAAAAGTATTAGTGAAAAAAACTCACCTTATTCAAGGACAATCAGTTCATCAGCATACTTCCCGAGATAACAGCCATTTCCAAATTAAATGCACCACCCTATCAGAGAGCCCCCTCCCCTACCAAGTACTTCAGCTGACAAAAGCTGTTCCTGGCTCCCAATAAAAAGAAAGTACCGCCAGATGCTCATTCCAGTTTAGATAATATTTGAAATTCTTTCTGTAGTAATCTGAATATCTCCAGAAATAATCTGATATAAATTAAACACCTTTTTTTTTTGCTTTTTGGGGTCACACCTGGTGATGCACAGGGGTTACTCCTGGCTCTGCACTCAGGAATCACTCCTGGCGGTGCTCAGGGGACCCTATGGGATGCTGGGAGTCGAACCCAGGTTGGTCATGTGCAAGGCAAACGCCCTACCCGCTGTGCTATCACTCCAGCCCCATAAATTAAACACTTTTATAGGGGCAGCAATTATTTCTCACAATACTAAAAATCAGTGTTGTTTTTTTTTTTCTTTTGCCTTTTGGATCAGACCCAGCAGTGCTCAATGGTTTACTTTTGGATCTGCACTCTGGAATTACTTCTGGGTCAGCCACGGGCAAACACAACCCACTGTACTATCGCTCTGGCCCCCGAGACTAAAAATCAGAAGAGTATTTCTTTGTAAGCTTTTCTAAAGGACGACTTAGAAACCTGAGATTAACTAAAAAGCAAAAATGTGACACCAATGATAAAACATTTCTTTACCATTGGATTCCAGTGAAAACAGATAAAAGAACAGAAATGAACTATGTGGGACATGAATATAGTCACAGTAGTTAAATAAATATAATGAGTTGGCAGTTAATAGTTTTAAGGATTATGATGAATAAAATTAACATACAGCTGCTGAAATAGTGCTAAAAGCTATTTTGAGAGATGGGGGAAACCCTACTCTTATTCTTCCCTCTTCCAGCGTCTTGCCCCGTTGGGTAAGAAATTCTTTTAAAGTAACCAAAAAAAAATTAAAGAAGGAAAAGAAAGAGAAAGTTATTTAGAAGAGATGTGATGGTTTATATTCAGCGGACATCTATGCATTTAGGGTCATTTAATCTGCACGATTCTTGACTGATTTTTTTAGTTTTGGTCCATGCTCAGTGGTGCTCAGGGGCCACTCCCAGCACTGCGGAGAAGCCATGCAGTGCCAGGGCTTGAACTTGACCTTCTGCGTGCAAAGTATATACTCAGTCTGCTGAGCAATTGCTCTGGTCTCTGCACACTATTTTATTTTTGTTTTTTGGGTCACACCTGGCAATGCTCAGGGGTTACTCCTGGCTCTGCACTCAGAAATCACTGCTGGCGGTGCTTGGGAGACCATATGGGATACCGGGATTGAACCCAGGTCGGCTGCGTGCAATGCAAACACCCTACCCACTGTACTATCACTCTGGTCCCCGCACATTTCTTTAAACACAAGCAGTTTTCCTCTAAAATTATTCTATTCTTAGGACACTGGATAATGTGCTTCACTTATGAAGGCTAAAGGCAATCTGTTTGAATAACATGGTATGAAATCTCATAACCCAAGTTGAATCCTTCTCATTTAAAAATTATTTTTGAGGGACTGGGGAGATAGTACAGTGGGTAGAGAGTGCTTTTCTTGTATGCAGCCAGCCGGGGTTTGAGCCCTCCAAGAGTGATCCCTGTGTGCAGAGCCAGGAGTATGCCCTGAACAAAGCCAGGTGTGACCCCCTCCCCCCGAAACAAAAACCAACAAATTATTTTAAAGATCCCAGAAAAAAGATTTAAAGATCTGAATACAGAAAAAAAAATTGTTTTTGCTTCGGGATGCTGGGATTGAACCTGGGTTGACCTCCTGCAAGGCAAATTCTCTACCCATTATACTATTGCTCCAGTACCCAGAAAAAAAAATTTTTTTTAATCAGTTACTTTTAAAAGCTACTTAAAGAAAGCAAATACTTAAGTAAAACTAAATGGAAAAGTACTGAGAAACTGTTCATTATAGAATCCTATGCTTATTATAGGCAGAGGCAGGATGAAATAAATGGTAAAGATCTAGGAAGTAATTCAGTTCAATTTTTAGATTTTAAAAAATATGATTTTAACCATCCAGATTTAATCCTGCCCAAATGTCATCCCAAAATGTTCTAATGTGAAAACATCCATGGAGCTCAAGTTTGCATTTCTTCCCCTTCTGTTTTGTATTCAAGCTGGTTTGCAAGTGCTACTTTAGTACATACTAATATTGGTGCTAGCTATACTTAAGACTTCAGGATTGAAGTCCAAAAGATGCGCTCCGAAAGATCTATTAAAACAATGATTAGTAACTGCTGAAAATTAAGATAGTAATACTACCCACAATAATCTGAAGACCAGTAAGGAGGGAAAAGGAGCTGGAACCTCGTATACTCACCATATGTCAACGTGTAAACTGGTTTCCCAGTCACGTCCAGGGCAGTCAGGCAGGGGCATTTGGCTTGAGTGGTGCCCCAGCGCTGCAGGGCGGACTCCAGTGCAGGTGGCCAGTTACAGATGACTCCCAGGGGCTCTCCTTTCACGGGAGTCATCTGCCGGCCCTCAGGCTTAGGCTGGTTGGGGTCTGGCTGAGGTACTAGACAAAAACAAAACACCCATTCCACAATGGGTTATTAGAAAATTAAGATCTTAACAAATGCCAGCAAACATAGCTTGTTCTTTAGTCTGAACTATTTTCTGGGGCCGGAGAGGGAGTTCAGTGGGCTGGGCCCATGGAGGACTTATTTCCCAGCACTGCTTGGTAATGGTGAGCCAATACACCGTTTGGGCCTTACCCACCTGTGCTCAGGACTTGGCTCTATGCTCAGGGATCACTCCTGGCTGTGCTCGGGGGACTGTATGTGGTGCCAGGCATTGAACCTCAACAGGGCACATGCAAGGCAAGAGCCTTACCTGCCATACTTCCTCTCCAGTCCTAGCACCTAACATTTTATGCAATAAATGGACGATCCTGAGGGGCCGGGGCGGGGTCCCAAGGAGCCCTGCACAGGCCTTGCATGAAGCTCTGGGTTTGGTTCCTGGCATGCAAAAACACACTGGGAGTGATTTCAGGGGTTCTGCTACTACAACAAAAATCCCAACCCTGACAAAGTCAGAACTGACCATAGAGAAAAACACAATTACGCACTTAAAAAAAAAAAAGAAAAGAAATTTAACTTTAGTAAGGCTTTAATTTTAACTTAATTACTTATTTATCCCCCTTCTTGTCTTCTTAGGAGCTGTTGAGATGGCTGGGAGGGTTGAACTTGTGTTTCTTCTTGGCCACACCTAGCAGTTTTTAGACGTTACTCTCAGCTCTGTGCTCAGGGGTTGCTCCTGATGCTTGGAACAAGGAATCCAACTAGGTCTCCTCATGCAAAGCACATGCTCAGCCCACGACCATCAGCCCCATGGGTTGCAGCTACACTGCAGTGCAACAACGACGGCACACTCACTGTGATGTCAAACAGTGCTCAGTATATGTGGGCAGTGCCAGGAATTGAGCTTGAGGTCTGTCACTTGCAAGCACGCACTCTTGCTGGAGCTATGCCTGGGAGCCAAACTTGTCTTAAGATCTAACAGGTGCCACCTCACAAGGCTCTGCAATCAGAGCTTGGTGAGCTTGGAGACCATACGGGGTTGGTGGAGATCAAATGGGTTGGCTACATCAAGGCAAATGCCCTCCCCCCCCCCCCCCGTACTATTATTCTAGTCCCTTGCTTGACTATGCTTTGGCGTGCTGGTGCTCACACAACAGGTCGCCCTCATGAAAGCACTAGAATCCTCAAGAGCTTCTGTTACTGTACAACTCTGTTACCAGGACTGGCAGCTTCTTGAAAGATGAGGCCCTAATTCCACTTGTGACCCCAACTGCCTAATATATAATGGCTGCTGAATCAAAGTTAATTAAACTGAATTTGGTGGGGGGGTGGGGGAGGGAGAGTATGCTAGATTAAAATGTCACTTATGTGTATAGGGCTTTTTTGGGGAGAGGGGGATGTTTGGGTCACACCCAACTGTGCTCAGGGCTTACTCCTGGCTCTGCACTCGGATCACTCCTGGCAAAACTTGTGGAGGGGAGGACATATGGGATATTGTGGATCAAACCTGGATCAACTGTACTCAAGGCATGCACCTAACCCACTGTACTATAGTTCCAGCCCCTGTGTGTATGGGATGTCAAAAACAAAAAATTACTGCTGGTAAATGCACTTGCCCTTCACGTGGCTGACTCCAGTTTGAATTCCAAGCACCACATCTGGTCCTCTGCTGACTGCCAGGGGTCACACCTGAGCAGAGCCAAGGTATGGTGCAAAACCAACCCACCCAACCGCCTCCAAAGAAGAAAAGAAAAGGGATGCTGAGTATGTTATCCTATGTTGTCTGCTGTAAGTGCTTGGTGTAAAGGACAGTCTATGTACCCAAGGAGCATCTAGAATTTAGTGGGGACACTTATTTGTCTGCTGGGGGAGGGGAGTTTGGGCCACACCTGGCAGTGCCTGGGAGCCACTCCTGGCTCTGTGTTCAGGCGTTGGTCCTGGCAGTGCTATGGGAACCATGTGACAGTGGCTGGGATTGAATTGGGGTAAAGTGATAACTACCTCTTCAGTCCTCGTTTAAGCACCGGTCTAAATTATAAAGATAGATACGTGGGAGGAGAGAAGACAGTTGGGTGACACACAGAAGTGCTAAGCGATATTTCTGGGTTGGTATCGGGGATCAAACCACATGCAAAGCATGCCTTGCCCCCAGTTCTTTGTGTTTGTTTCCCAGCATTTCACAAATATTTTAACTTTTTTCACTACCTACCATACATATATCTTTGATAAAGTAGACATATATGTATTGACTGATGTAATGAAAGAATTGTGTAGTATCAAAGGAAAAAACAGTGACTTCAAACTAGACATTCATATTCAAAAATAACAATACATATAAGCTTTTTGTTTGTTTGTTCGGGGGTCACACCTGGCAGTGCTTAGGGGTTACTCCTATCTCTTCACTCAGGTATCGCTCGGTGGACCATAAGGGATGCCAGGGATTGAACATGGGTTGGCCACATGCAAAGCAAACGCCCTACCCAATGTACTATCACTCTGGCCCCTAAACTTTGTTTTTTGTTTGGGAACCACACCAGGAGGCTAAGAGCACGCTTCTCAGGGGTCGGTTTTTGGCAGTACTCAGGGGATCAGGCTGTAAGGGGGGACTGAAACTCTGTTTCCCACGAGCAAAGTGTGGGACTGGACCTTTGAGATCTTTTCTGACTTCTTAAAAAAACATTGTAGTAGAAAAAAGTTCCAGAGCACATTTTCAAAGACTGTCATATGTGTCTTTTCTCTTCCCTATTTTTCAACTGAGATCCAAAATATAAATGGATATTAGTTCAGTGGTCAGAGTTTTGGGATCTGAGTTGAAACCTTGGTACCGTATAGACCTAAAGCACCTCCAGTGTGATCTTGGGACCCTGAATCACAGGGCCCAAGCAGCCTCAGATGCTCAGGCTCTAGCACTGAACTGCCCGGACCAACTGTCCAAATATCCTCAGGAGTTGCCCCAGCCCCACTGAGCACTGGATCTCCATCCATCTCCCCCCTTCTATGGGGGGGTGGGAGGGGAAGGGCAGAAAACTCAAGAACTTTCTGAATCCTAAATGATGACCTTTTCAGCCATACACCCTAAGAACCTGACAGGCAGCAACCTTTTTAGAAATGTTACAGAATTTTTGGTATTACTGCTACTACCTTCCACAATTTCTTCAGAGTCATCTACAAAAAATTCTTTTAAGGGTGGTCTTTTAGGTCGTTTTAGAGTGTTGAGAAGCTGTTGGATTTTTGTAGATACTCTGCTATTGACAGGAACACCTATAAGAGGAAAAAAAGTAGTAAGTCAAAGTTTACTTGTTTCTGTGATATTTTAGTTCAGTTCTTAGTAGCTTTTATTTCTCCTGATGATTAATCACTCCTCATGATCCTTCTCTATTTCAACAGGGCAACGGAGTACAGAAGTTTTATGACAAATTTTATGGGAATAAAATACAAACATGGTGCTACTATAAAGGTACTGCTCAAAGATCTCATCTGTTCTCTCTCCTTTTCATCTTTCTTACTCAGTTTTTTGGGGGAGGTTCCAAGAATCTCTGGGAAATATAGACTAGCTACCGGCAAGTCAGCTGCCACATGCTGACTAAGTGAGGAGACTCAGGGTAGTTTGACAGCTGCTTGGGCCAGTGTGGGAGGCCTCAGAATCCCTCATTTGAATTTTTCCAGTTTGACTAATTCCCTATTTAGCTACAGAAAGAATCTCCTACCATCAGCAGTATCCATAAGGCTGGACCTGTTGGATCCTTTGTGCATGCCTTTAACTATTCCTGAGGGGGGAAGGTCAATATTTGCCGGGCGTATTGAGGAAGATGATGATGAGGAAGAGGTAGTTGTAGTGACGTCAGGGGGAGCAGAGAAATTCTCTATGAGAGGAGAAAACAAAATTTAGACATATATTACAGTAGCAGTAAATATAAGAATAACTGGCATCTGTTTTGTTTGTGGCCAAGGAAGACACTTAAATAGCTTCTGTAAATAACCTTCTAAATCAAATTCTAAACAATAGAGGAGTAAGAGGCTAAGTCAGGGCTTATTGCTTTCGAAAATTACTGTTTTCAAGAATTCAAGTAGCTTAGTAAGGATAAATTACATATAAAATACCCTTTAGGGGCCTGGGCTATAGTACAGCAGGTAGGGCATTTGTCTTGCCTGCGACCAAACCCAGTTTGATCTCTGGCATCCGTATGGTCCCCCGAGCACTGCCAGGAGTAATACAGAGCCAGGAGTAAGCCCTGAGCATTGCTAGATGTGACCCAAAATAGGAAAGAAAGAAAGAAAGAAAGAAAGAAAGAAAGAAAGAAAGAAAGAAAGGAAGGAAGGAAGAAAGGAAGAAAGAAAGAAAGAAAACAAACATATTTCACTATATTAAAAAATATTCTTTATACAGGAGCCCAATGTTATAAAATAAAGTTACTTCAGAAAGAAACCAAAGTGAGCACGATCTTGACATTCGAGTCTCTTTAGCAGTTCTTCATCTTTGTCGGTCTGTATCCCCTCCCATGGAAGACAAAAATAGTATCTTAGGAGTGGGCAAGAACTTAGGTTTTCAGAGAAGAGGGAAAAAAATCATAAAAATTCACTTTAAAGTTCCATTAATTTCATTTTGGAGGTTGTGTTTGGACCATACCCAGCAGAACCCAGGAATTACTCCTGACTTTGTGCTCAGGAATCGCTCCTGGTGGTGCTAGAGAACCATATGTGGTGTTGGAAAATCTAACCTGGTCGGCTGCGTACAAGGCAAGAGCCTTACCTCCTGGACTATCTGTTAGGCTTTATAAAATCCACTTAACAGAAATCATCCTTCCCATTCTCTAAGTATGACTGAATAGTATTGTGTTCTGATCCACGAAGGACTTTTAATACAGGGCATCTGAATGATTGGAGTTGAGTCATTTAAAGAGGTGTGCTGCCAAAAAACTTAGGAAACATCTGAAGAAGAAAATTAGAGGTAAAATGCATGATTCAGAAGAATAATGAAAAGCCAAACTAAGGAAAAAGAAAAAAAAGGTGTAATATAAATAATTTCAAAAATCAAATTGGGAGTAAGATCTCTATGCCCCCCTATCTGCGATTATTAGATTTATTAATTTAGTAGTTTCTCTAACTTTAAAATACATTTTGCAGGGGTCAGAGAGACAGTCTAAGGGTTTAGGGACTTGCCTTGTATGTGGACAACCCTACTATCCCGTATGGTCCCCAGGGCACCACCAGGAGTGATCTCTGGGCACAGAGCTAGGAGTAAGCTCTGAGTACTGCCAGATGTAACCTAGGAAGGAAAGGAGAGAGAGAGGGAGGGAGGGAGGGAGGGAGGGAGGGAGGGAGGGAGGGAGGGAGGAAGGAGAAGAAATTATAGGAAGGCAGAGGGAAGGAAGGGGGAACAAAAAAAGGGAGCTAGGGAGGGAAGAAGAAAGAAGGGAGGAGGAGAAGGGAGGATAGAAGGAAGGAAGGAAGGAAGGAAGGAAGGAAGGAAGGAAGGAAGGAAGGAAGGAGAGAGGATGTAATGTGCTGGAGAGATGGTACAGGAGGTAAGGCACTGCCCTTTAAACAGTCAACCTTGATTTGACCCCTGACACTCCTGACAACTCAGCAGAAATAACCTCTAAGCACCACCAGGTGTAGCCACAAAACTCGGTAAGTAAATAATATATAATAAAATAAAATAAATAAAAAATAATACTGCACAAGTAGAGTGTACTATATTCTTGTGTGGGAAGTGATGAAAAGCATTAAAAAATAGATAAATTTGTATGACCCAGTAATTCCACTAATAGGAATATTTCTTAAGGAATTAATCAGAAAAATGTACCAAGTAGTGTCTTTAAGGATGTTCATTCAAGCAGTTTTTGTAATAACAAAAAGCTAGATATACTATTCGAATGTCCAAACGACTAAATAAATTGGAACATAGCCATATACTGGCAAATTTTAAGATCATAAAAATAGTAGTATAATTCTAATTATATAAAAATGCTTTTGATAAATTGTTAAGAAAAAGTTATGATATTTATGTTTAGTACCATTTGATTTCTCTAAAAATAACCCCCCTATAATCACATGTAAATAAAGTCTAGAAGAATATACACTCAAGAGTTATCACAGACTGTGATAACTTTTGGCTAAGATCAAGTATAGTATCTGTTCTTATCAGTTTATTTTTTCTTTTTGGGTCACACTCAGCAATGCTCAAGGGTTACTCCTGGCTCTGCACACTCTGGAATTACTTCTGGTGGTGCTCAGGGGGCCACATGAGATGCCAGCGATTGAACCCAAGTCAGCTGCATGCAAGGCAGACACTCTACCTGTTGTACTATCACTCTGTCCCCTCTCATCAGTTTAATATCTGATATGTCCTCAAACTGAGGACAATATATTAGATGGATATTTGGAGCAAGGAGATGGAATAAGAGCTTGATCCATCCACTCCATGCATCGACCTGGTATTGCAGTACTTCCAGAAATAGTATACCAAAAAAGGAAAAAAAAAATTATCACAGAAAGTGAGTTCATAGACTATTATTCTTATTTTCAAATTTCTGAGTGAGAACATAAATTGCTTCTATCAAACACTTAAAAGGCAATATTGTCGGATAAAATGATTTCTATGAATCTATAAACTGATAACATTTCACAGTACAATAAAAAAATCCACGTTGAAACAGTGTTAAAAATTCAGAAGAATTTAACTGGTTATTAGTATGATATTTTATCAAGCGAAACTGTTCGCTTTTATATGGAAATCAAACCTGACCCTGTGTTTCCCCTCCCATGTAGAAAGATGGTCAACATGTTCATCTGCAGCTGTCAGAGGAAGCTCAAGTACAGGACTAAGGTAAGGAACACCTATCAGCCGCTGTCACCTGGATTTTTTAATATAAGCAATCATATCTACAAAGTAGGTATTTTCTTTAAAAATTGCACGCTTGAGTTAAAAATTTTTTCACGCTTTCTCTTCAGAAATCACTCAATAAAATAAAGATAAAAATACACGGTGATAGACAGGTCGCTGATATGAAAATTAAGACCAAAATAATGCAATTGAGATTGCTGAAAGAAAAAAAAAAGACAGAAGTATCACAGACATAATGTTCATATACATTACTTAGTACAACATGGACCAACCAGATAAGCAAACACAGAAAACTGGGTTGTTATCTTAATCTGCAGATGTCACAAACTCTTAAAAACACACACACAAAAACATAAAGCAGAGCCAAGCCAAAAAACTAAAAAACAAAACAAAAAAAACACAACTAAACTCCATACAGGAGCACTGGCAGCAGGGAACAGCTCAGAGCACATCATCAGCCTGCACACCCCAGTACTGCAATAACACAGCAACAAGGATAATATTCCAGTCTTCAGGCAAAAGACATAAGAGTCTCACCTATATTGTCTAGCACAGAATTTGTTTAGGTTTACTGTGTTTTCTGCTTGAGAGGCTGGAGAGAGCATGTCACATAGTAGCTGGTGTTACATACTTTGACATCTTCAACAAGGATAAACTCATGCTAAGACTGGTATTATATCTTGTGGCTTGAGTATTGCTTATGGAAATAGCTTTGGCTTCAGGTGGGCGATTCTATGCACCAATAAAGCAGATGATCTTTCATTCCAAATGTATTGCTGGTGTTTCCTCATTTTATCTCATCATCAGTCAGGGTTTTTTTTGTTTTTGTTTTTAAAAATCCCCTCTTTTTGATTTATCAATAGTTTGCAACATTTATGTTCTTTCTGACTCTGTTTTTTTTTTTTGAGGTCACTGAAAAAAACCAATGCCATTCATAAACTGTTTCCTGAATACAGGGAGCTAAAATGGAACATATTTGGGCTTTGTGGATAGAACCAGTTCCTACCTATTCGAGTATTGGCAAATACATCAGCTAGAGACCCAATGGTTCCTTTGACCTCTCCATGGGACAGCGTAGAAGATGCGGATGAAGAAGTGGACGATCCCTGAATTGAACGGTTGATCCAGGACTCGGCATTCTGTAAGCTCTGTTGCAAGGCAGCAGAGAGCGCAGCTTGGCGTCTCAGAGAACCCTCATCCTCAGAGGCCGAAGACGTGTCTGTGTGGAATTAGAAAAAAAGAAGTTCTCCATCCTGCCTAGAAATGAGAGCTTTCAGGTTCTTGCTCACTGATCACACATACAACTTTGACACCAGCAAAACATTCGTATACTTAGGGAGCTCCAATAGGTCGGGTATGTCAAGCGTCTCAAGGAAAGGGCCATGAACCAAAGTCTGGAAAAGTAAAACAGCCAAAACCTATAGGGAATTTAACGTCAATTTTAAAAGTGCGTCAGGAACACTTATACTTCACTTACTGTTTTTTGGTTCTGAACTTACTCAGTAGCTAACGTTTCCCACTTATCTTTTTATGTTCAAATCATGTAAGTACTTATATATCTCCATCAATCTCTTAATTAGAGAACCTTGTGATAGGAAGCAATGTTTATTTTTACAAGCAATTATTAGTGTCTACTTAAAAGGGAATTATCTTGATAGAGATCTATAAAAACCTATTTTTGTTAGTAACAACTTAAGTGCCAATGAGCTGGGTGTTGGGCACTGATAGGGACTAAAGCTTAAAGCCTGAGGCTTTCATGGTTTTAGTGGAAAGGCCAGCTGACCAGAGGGTACAGGTAAGCTCTCCAAGCATGGCAGAGGGCACAGATGTCCTTCTCTCCTGAATTCTTCATTGGAGAAGAATGGTGAGAAATTCACCAATGTCTGTATTTAGCCAGGCTCTGTCTGACTTTAGGAAAACAAGGCCTAAATTAGAAATGCATGTTGAAAAAAAATTTTTAAAGAAAAGTTCAACCAAATATAGGATAGCTGAGGAAAGCAGAAGTCAGGAATGTATTTCAAGGTTCTAAACTTACAAGCCACATAAGTAAAAGGTCCGATGTGGAATCCTTGAAATGACTGGAAGGGGGTCAGAGCATCACTTGCAAATTAACTTTTACTCAACTGTTTTAAAATTAAATATCCTGTGATTATTCCTGTCAAATGACATGTCCTCCAATTTGGTGAAACTGTAGGTCTCTGTTCAAAGAACCTAAGAAATAACTAAAAGAGCCAGAGCACTTCCAGCACCACCAATGGAAATCTGAACCATGCAAGATTAGTTTTATCTAAGAGTTACGTTTTGCAAGAGAACATGACAAATTAAGGACCTTTTCCTTCCTTCTTGCTCTGGACTACCTTCAATTTATTATCTCACAGTGAAGCAGATCTGAGGCTCGAAAACGCTGCTTTGCTTTCAGCACTGCAACAAACCAAAACGATCCAAACTGTGCTATGTGCTGGAATCTGTCAGATATTCTAATATGTGTAAGTTCTTATGAGACTGAAAGCATCCTAAGAAAGGCCTGGTCGAGCAGAGGAGACACAGTCCCAAAGGAACGCTAGAGATATGAAGGAGGCGGTTCTGGAGGGAGGCAGGATTTCAAGCACTTCTACACAGAACAAAGTCTCTGAGAAGGTGAAGGGGCAAAAAGATGGGGCTGGAAACAGTGTCCCGCCCCCAAAGGGTTAAAGTAGGACGGTTCTTTGAAAGGAGAGAGTTTTTTATTTTAAAATAAAAAAATAAAAATAAAAACAGAGGCTGGAAAGATAGCACAATGGGGAAGACGTTTGCCTTGAACATGTGTTCCTTGCCCGGCACCTCATATGGTCACCCAAGCCTGGACAGGAGTGAATTCTGAGCACAGAGTCAGGAGTAAGCTCTGAGAACTGTTGGGTGTGGTACAAGAACAAACAAACAGATAATTAATAAAGAAAAACAGAGATAAATGCAATAGCATCTATGACTTTTATTTAAGGGAACAGTTTTACAAAATTTCAGAAAATACCAGAACATTCTACCTATGCCTGGAAGAGAGAGGTGTTTCTGCAAACACTCTATATAGAAGGAAGGTGGCTTTCAAGTAAATCTGACCCTTGGGAGATACGTCTCTGACTCCCACAGACTCCAAAGACTCTACAAACCATCTGTATTATATCATTTCTTTTAATTTGTGTAAGTCAGAATAATCCAATTTTAAGAGATAGAAAGCTACTACTTTCATGATTAGGTTTACGGAAAATTGGCTTCATTATGTTTCTATATTGAATCAATTATATAATTTGGTATATTGTTGCAATTCAATTCCCTCATCTGCCTGCTAGTCCTTGGAGAGTTTGGTGACTACACGTGCTGGGTTGCTTGGTCAAGTTGAGGTAGGGAGGGGGGAGAGTGGGTATGGCTTTGGTGTCCATTTTCTATTTAAACCCTGAGGTCCACTATTTATGAGCTATGTGACATGAGGATTAAAATGACTACCTGAGAGGGCTGCTAAACTGTCCATCCATTCATCAAATACTACTAAGCTTTATACTAGTTAACAGGAATAAGATGGTGAGCTCTAAGATGATACAGTTTCTGCTCTTAAATGACTTTAGACTCTAGTAGGATTTCAGGGCAGGAACCCAAAGACTTGAGATCTAAACCATGGTCAAAAGAGTAGATAGGAATTAGTAATGAGGAGGCATAGCAGCGGGAGAGTAAAAAGTCAAACAAAAAGGGAATAGCATGCGACAAAGCTGAAGGGAGCCGAAAGCAGGCACATTTGAAGATCTGGAAGAGATGTGACTAGCTGCTGTACCAGATACGAAACCGGTAGCAACGAACAAGGAGGCTCGGCAAAAAGACAGTGCAAGGGCCACAGAAGACATGCTAAGCAAACCCCTTTTTATTCTAATGGCAAGGGGAGCCCATAACATTGAAACAGTGTGCAGAAGGCACCAGCAGTGCTTTCTACCAGCTGGCCAATATTATCAATTCCCTTCTCCTTCTGGACTAAAACCTGCCCCACAGTCGCTCACAGACACAAAACTGTGACCACGCAAAGCTTAAAGCTGCTCATGGTTATCTGGTAGCTCTTTTGTTTAGAAACAAAAACTGTCACACAGAAATTACTATGAATTAACAGAAATTCAGGCAAGATTAAACAATAATAGAACTAAGCCTTCCTTTTCCTTCTTCCCTCCCTCTCTCCCTCCCTATTCTTTCTTGGGGCGGGGGCAGACCCGGAGGTGCTCAGGGCTTACTCCCGGCTTCCCTGGCATTGTGGTTCTCTGAGCACCCCCAAGAGCAGTGGCCCAAACCACGTCCTCAACCCTGCAAAACTAAAACCTGGTTTACTGTTTATAACTGGTGTGAGTTTAACATGGCATTATTTAATACGGTTATCAGAAGTCTAAAACCCACTTATAATGAACTAGGAAATATAATTTGCTTAGTGGAAAGTGCTCTTAACTGCTGCAGCACTTTTAATCGAGAGCTATGTATGAAAAGACTCCAGTCTTTTTAATGCAAACATTATAACTAAAAAATGAAAATATCATAACTAAAAAATTTTGAAAATTTTAGATGCTACATATCATCTATCCTACTCCTGGGTATTCAAGAGAATTAAAATCATGTATCTGTGTAAAGTCTTGTTATATGAATATTCAGGGGAGCTCTGTATAATACACAGCAAAAATTGAAAAACAATTCAAATGTCCATCAACAATGGAATGAATGGATAAACTCTGGCTCATGGGTATGATGGGACAGTACTCAGTAAAAAGAGGCAATCCCACCAATAGGCACAGCAATACGGACCAGTCTCAAAGTGATCACAGAGTGGTTGGCTTCTGCAGAGTGGCAGAAGCCAACCATCCCACAGATGGACAGCTCTGTGGTTTCACTTACCTAAAATTCTAAAAAGTGAAAATGTAACAGTTCAAGAAAACAGATCAGTGGTTACCTCAAGGGGATGGGTAAACACAAGATTACAAAGGGATCATAAAGAAATTTGGTGTATATGAGTATGTTCACTATCTTACTTGTGGTGAAGGCTTCTGTTTTGTCCAAACTTAGAAGAACACACACTTTTAAATACATGTTGTTTATTTTGTACACCAATTACATTTCACTAAAGATATGAAAAAATAAACTAATTAAAAAAGCTTTGTGGGAGCTAACATGATGCGGGGGGTGGGGGTGGGGGTGGGGAGCCTCATGACATGATGTCTCAAGACGTAACTTGAGAGTCAGCCATTTACCACTGCCTGAAGCTGAACGAGACCCTGGAAAGAGTGTTCCGTGTCAGGCATCAATGCCCGAACTGGATTCCACTTAGGACAGGTGAGTCAAGACTCACCACTGTTCTAAGCTATTAGAACAGGAAGGAAGAACTCATCCTAAACTATAAACACTATAAAGCATGTAATGTACCAAGGGTAGGGAACAGGAGATGACAGTAAGTAGGAGCTTAAAGAACAGAATCAAGGAAATGAAAATGAGCAGTTGGTGTATGAAATTCCAGTGCCCACGAAAAGATGTGTAAGTGTTCCTTAGGTGAGATGGGATGGTGTCGCGCAGGAAAATAGTATTTTGTTTTGTACCATTTGGTCAGGGGAATTAAGGACTTCTAGGAATACCTTCAAGAGAGGTCCAAGGAAATTTCTATGTAGACAAGGAAATAAGTACGAAGTTCTAGAAAGTAAATATTTAGAGATTCTAGAAGGGCGGCATAGGAGTAAAAGCATACACAGAATAGAAGATCAAAAGGTTAGTTCTGGAAGCAGGCCAATGTAAACTTACCTTAAAATTCCCAACAGCCTGATCTACAATAAATTCAACCAGGGTGGATACTGATTCACGAGACAAGGGTTAGGAGAACTTTCAGAACAACCCTATTGATTTTGGAAAACCCACAATAATCTGTACGAAGAGCTTATGGGGGACTCAAAAGTCACTATGGAGAGTCCAACTGACAGAACGTCCATGAGTTAGTTGTCTGACCATTAACATAGAAACTGAGATTCCAGGTCATTTTACCTAAAAGATATATTCCAGCGCTGTTCTTTACAATTATTATTTTATATTTTGGGTGTGTGGGGTACATTTGGTGGTGACAGAGGCCACTCCTGGCTCTCTGCCGGGGTTGTTCCTGACAGTGCTTGGAGCAATGTGGTTCCTGGAATCAATTCTGTGCCTTCCACCTGCAAGACCTGCTTCCAGTGCTCTCAGCCC